GCGCGAAACCACCAACTGATAATTTGCAATTCTCAGGAATATCAAGGCCAGCCCCAGCGAGAAGGTCGGCGGTTCCAAGCCCAAGTCGCCGAAGAAGAAGAAAGGCCCAAAGGCCAAAGATGACAAGCCGGAAAAGCCCGCAGACAAGCGTGTGAAAAAGGATAAGAAGGAAAAGAAGCCGAAGAAGAACAAGGAAGAGTGACCGGTGCTGAGTGCTTCGCAACTTTTCTAGATTTACTGTGTGCCTAAAGGCACATAGAAGTTCTGAGGATCCTCGATCTCGGTTCTGCTGGGACCCGTCAATATGCATACATAATTACACGTACACTTTCTCTAGGCCGGCCTAGGGTTCAACATATATTGCTGGGGAAAGGGCTCCACGGATCCAAACGAGATCGGAAGATGCGGGGGAATCTGCATCATGCCCATGAAATTCGATCTAGCGTGATTTCCGCTGATCCAACCGAGTAGCGTGAAAAGACGTGGTTGCTTATCTGATGTGACCAGCACATGCATGAGATAGCTACCTTGACCCTAGACCCTGTATTTACCCGGGCTTGTGGTGCAGGCCTCGAAGCACAAAGACGGGCTCGTGATCCCGCCTTCGAATACGGCCTGGGACCCGTGGCATATGCATGCAGCCACTTGAAAGATCTTGAAAGCACATTACTATCGAAAGGGCTATGGTTGACTCAAGTTCTGAGGCCCACCTACTGATGAGGAGCCCTCCGATGCCTCCGATAGTGATGGCTTGGTTGGTGCGATTATGGGAGATGTTGAAAAGGGGGTTTCTTGGATGCACTCCTATCTCCTATCCGTCTATGCATAATATGCATGCATGTGTGCATATATATCATGCTGTGCAGGCCGACGCCAAGAGTGTGGTCCGTTTGGCAAAAATCGCCAGCCGGAGGATGAGGAAGCTAGGCAGGATAGTGCAGGGTTTTATGACTCGTGTCGGGGGTTAGCTTTATGTGGGGCCTGGGGTTGAGGGCCGAGGAATTATGTTAAGGGGGCGAATGGTACTTTAGAGCCGCTGGATTTGTGCATTCTTCGGTCCCTAAACCCAACCCTAAAACTCTGTGTCTTCGACCCTATGTGACTTGTGTGGAGGTGTAATGCCGGGTTTTGTTAAAGTCGGAAGTCGGGCCTGTGAGCCTGGTGACCCATAGGGAGTTCGCGCCATCCCAAACCAAATATGTCTCACCAAAACCAATACATGATGCATAGCTTGGCTAAGCTGTGGTCTTTACTGTGTTGGTGCTTGGTGTGCAATGTGTCGTAACAACTGCAACAGCTAACACCAGAAACAATCCTTCGACCCACTACATGCAGCTTCAGGGCACTTTGAGTGCAACCCCGAAGTGTTAGAACAACATGCACTCGCACTCCAGATCGAAGACTTAGCAGGTCGGGTAAAAAATAACAAACATCCTAGATAATTTAGGGTTCACCCAATGGAACAGTTCTAACCCTGATACCCTCCGAGCTCCTGTACAGGAGTCGTCGATCCTCAATTGCAAGCCATTGGGAACCTGGCCACCGGCAAGGACTATCATAATGCGGCTCGGAATCTGCATAGCTATCTGCATTCCAATGGACAAACATATCCTGTGCCAATCTCTGCTACCAGACTGAGACTCCGACGACCTAAGAAGGGTGGTGGTGAGTTTACAACAAACTATCCCCTGATCTACCTCTCGAGTTGGATGCGATGTATCCTAGAAGATGGTGGAGAATTTCTGTTGGGAGGCTGGACCACGGACCAGCCCCGGGAATACAAAGCGATGTTTGCACGATTCTGGGACCGATATGAGTGTGTGAATCAAGAACATCCGATTTATTTCGAGAAAACCTGGGAACAGAGGATGCATTGCATCCCCATTGCTGTTCATGGTGATGAAGGAAGAGGCCTAGGAAAACATCCTGTGCTAGTGGAAAGTTATCAACCTCTTTTGCCCTGGAGTGGAGAAAATCAGCTGAACATGGTTGGGTACCTTTCCCAAAATTTAAACTTTCGGGTCAAGTCTGTGGATGTGGTTCTTTAGATAGATAGTCCGGCTATAAATGATCTAAACCGCAGCCCGACACTATACCACTGCAGCCAAGGCATTCCTTTACAACTAGGCTGCTGGCCTGCATCTTGCCCTCTCAGTGTTACGCAAAACACGACAAGTCGGTGGATGGCCTCCACCAGGCCATGAGCAATGATCTCAGAGCCTTGTTCGAGAAAGGAGTTTCCGTTGAGGCAAGGGGTTTGGGCCGGTTCATTTTTATAATGGGTTTAGCTGCTATAGGGATATAAATGAGGCCAAGTGACGGTGTACTTAGGAATTTAGGGGCTTGGGGTAATCCAGCAGGTGCATGGAGAATGCATCACTTTCTTTGCGATCGCTGTTGGCGCAAAAGGAGATTGGCCGTATCTCAGAAAGTTGTATCATCTCGAGACTGGTTTTACGAGTACGAGAAAGTGTCATCTCTGTCCGGGCAATGTTACGTGGGCATATATCAGTCATACTTTCTGTGTAAGCTGGTTGTGTTCTGATGCGAATCAAGAAACCCCTAGCTACATCCATCTGCATGAACGACTCCCAAAGGATTGGTGGGACGTCGGGCCGACAAGTGAGTTGCGAACATGGATGGACCCATCCCCGAATCCTTTCGCTCGAAAGTGGGCTGCTTTCCGGGATATTCCAGGTATGGACAAACCTGAAATGATACAACCTGACATAATGCATTGTTACAATCTTGGTTTCGGCAAGGACCTTGCAGCTTCCGGTGTTATCAAAGCTTGTGATGAAGGTATTTTCGGTGAAGGCTCCCTGCCACTGCGGGCAGAGAATGCATTTGGTGCATTCATGTCATGGTGCGAACAACAGGGTCGTACCAGCTCCATCAAAGAGTTCGACCTCAAAAAAACCTTCAAGATGAAGACGTACCTTGCCCCAAGAAGTTATAACTTTAATGAAGCCAATCCAGTCACACCGCCAGCGATACCATCCCGAAGTCCGGAACCCTATGTCAATCTTAGGCAGCGGCAATTCCCCACGGGGTGTGGGAAGGCGTATGATGTCGCCTTGGCCAGCAAATGGCTGGCTCACGAGCTCGGTGTGCGCAGAGGGGCACCCTAGCTTGTACTTGACCGAGTAAAGCTTTATGTGGGTTTCGGGGCAAGTGTTAAGTAAATAGCCCTGGACCCCATAAGTTCTCTAAGAGTTTATATATGATGATACCCCAGAAGTGTACTTATACAAGGCTACTTAGGCACCGTCAGAACTTCCCTTACTCCTACGCCCCAGCGAAGCTTCCTAAATCCACGTAGCCGGGTATAAACTCTCTGTAGGAGAATGGCCTCTCCGATTCGCTGGAGCTCTTGCATTTTACGCTGGAGTCTGGAAACCGATTCTTTCACGCACTCTACAATCACGGGGCCTGGATACCGGTTGAAGTGGCAAGGACGGCTGTGCAGAATGGTTACAACCTGATCGAAAGCTGACTGCAGAATGTGGTTTTTTTAGTGCTGCTTTTGCAAATCTTATGCTATATATGTGCATGATATACTTCCCGTATATATATCCAAGGAAGGATACTGTGGCTTGGCGCGAGATGCTGCCGAGAGCAACATGGTTCTCTACAAAATCAGACCGAAGGTCCACCTAGTGGGCCATATCGTGCTTCCCGGCTAACATTTTGCATGTTTGCTTGGCCAGCACAAAGTACACGCACAAATCGCTTCCGAGGAACACAATGCATCAGCAGATCAGATCCGATATCTGCAGTGGATTCGTGCTGAACCCATGTTGTTTCTGTGTTGCAATAAGCTCTAGGCTGGCTGATCAAAGCTTCGAGCAACTCCCAACAACATATCAGGCTTCGCCACATGGAGCGACGAGGACTACATTGGACGAATATCACGTATCACTCGTAGAGTTGGATCATCTCGCCTCACCGCGATGCGAACGATTACACGCACATTGGTGAGTTACCGTAAGTTCTTTCGACGCCACTTTAAAAAGTGCAGTCACTTGTGACACTCCGGAGCTGAGCCCGCTGCTGGAAAATGCCGATGTCCAGGTCGCTGCCGACAGCAGTCGTTGTGTGTGTGTGTGTGTGTGCGATGGGCCCTGATTGCTCCGTGCTGGCAGGTTGGGTGCTTGGCTCCGGGGTCTGGGACTTCGGTTTAGGATACTTCGGCTAAGCATCTAGGCCTAATGGCCACAACATCGAATAACCGAAAGCTTACGTGCGCTTTTATTTATAACGTGCGGAAATCCTAGAACGTACCTAAAACCCAAGATTCGCTACATAAATTTGGACAGCAACCCTCGAGCATAAATTTAAGTAGCGTTTGAGGCTACAGGTATAAGTATCCAGCACCGAAAGGCAGCAAACACTTCGACTTGAACAGCAGAGCTTCTGGATTCCATTCGGATCGCTAGTTCAAGCTGACTCCTTAATTACCAGGGAACTGAATCACGATATCAGCGACAAGAAACACGTTGCGATCCATCTCTCTCCATCTCTCTCTCTCTCTCTCTCTCTCTCTCTCTCTCTCTCTTGCTTGCTTGCTTGCTAAGGGGTGTGGGTGCATGCAGGCACGCACCCTGGCCCGAGGCTCTCTCTCTCTCTCTCTCTCTCTCTCTCTCTCTCTCCCTCGCTCCCCTCTCTCTGTAGATGTATGCAGGTATGTGCGTACGGAAACTATTGTCACTTTACAAAGGCATGTTGGGTGTCTTACCAGAGCCACCACATTGAAAAACAACATTGATCTTCTCAGAAACCGCTCCCATGGTTAGCCAAGTCTTTTTTCAAGCCTTCTGCCCGAAACGCAACATGAATTGCAAAACCTATGGTTCACTCCCGACGCCTCTGAACATTCTGTCCGAAATGGCAAACCCTCAATCTTTTTTGCCGAACCCGCAGCTCCTGTAGACTAAATGGGTCAAGACCATACAGACTTAGCTCCAAAACCCTTGACCTGAGCCGCAAATCCAGCTCTCCTGGAAGATGCGTTTGGAATCGGCCTCTGACAGGGGTCGTTTGACTGCAAAGGGTGGGGTTTACAAAACAAATTAAGGACCCTTCTCTATTTGGGGTCCGAACACTCAGCAGGAAACTATCTGCGGTTTGTACATGTGGCCAACATTGCGTGTACCTGATTTTCTGAACCTCCCATGAACATAGACTTGCTAACTGGCCCCGCAGTTAGCTGTAATGGTGCAGGAGCTTTGGGCCCTCGGGTGCAGGGTTCCAGGGCTTACAGTGTGGAGGTTTCGGACACCTCGACCCGAAGCCGCCTGGGTCACCGACGTTCGTGAACCTAGACCGCAGTTGTGCGGGTTCAATGAATCTGAGCCCGCAACCTGACACCCCGTATGGTCTAGGGCTTGGGACTGTAGGATGCTTGGGCTTTTAGGGTATACGGTATACGGTCAGGCAGGTCCCCCTTCAGCACGGGCCCGGACTGTATGGCAACCATGAATCTACCCTAAAGCAAGGGGTTTAGGGGTTAGGGTGTCGGGGTAGGGCCATATAGGGCCCTACAAGTAGGGCCTTGTTGCGGTCGTCCAGCGCCGCAAAGAGTTCTTGATGCATGCTTTGCATTCGCCGCCGGAGGCTTTTGTTGTCCAGGCGATCCTTCAACTGCGCCTGGGGGCTTAAGCTTTCGGGGACCTGGGGTTTATGCAGGTTCAGGGCTAGGCTTTGGAGTTTAGGGTGCAGGTTTAGGGTTGGGTTGCCCGTTTTTGCAGGACTTCGGACTTCTTTGCCAGGGTGTTTTGGGCTCTGGATTCTTGGGCTCGGGGCTTGAGAGACCCGGATGTTGCAATGCCCCCGGAACCCTAAACCTTAAACCCTGGAATTCCCCATGCCCGATGCCCCAACCACTACACCTCGAAACAAACCCCCAAAGCCCGAAAAGGAAACCCCACTGCCAAAACCCAAAGCCCACCCTGCGAAAACCACCAGCGAAAAGTTTAAACCCCAAACGCGCAAAAGCCCAAGACCCCAAACCCTTAACCCGTAGCCCCGAACTGCTAAAGCCCACACCAGCAGCACCTTAAAACCCTAAATACTATATACCCTGTAACCCCCAAATTCCTAAGCCCACAACACCAAGCGAAACCCCCAACTCTAAGACCGTAAACCACAAAACCCCTAACCCCAATTTCCTTTGACCCTCAGGAACCTTCTTCTCATCCAGCTCTTTTCTACGTTTGGCATCCCCGGAGAGCATCAAGCCGTGTCCTTGGAGACGATACGGGAGTTTCCACAAGTTAGGGGTACCTTATTTTGTTTCCTTATAATAAGGATCCTACTATTGAAGGGTACTATACCAGGGTCCCCTATTTTCGGAAACTCCCAGATTTTTGTTTTGTTCAGGGCCTTCTCTTCTGAATCGCAAACCACAGCTTCATCACAGCCTAAATCGCAACTCCTTCTCTGCTACCGGCTAAGGGAGACCCGATTCAAACTGAAAGCTTGGGGTTCAGAGGTTAGGGTTTTCGGTGACCCTATCCAAGGATCGATGGAGGAACACATCGAAGAACACGTAGAGCATTCCACCGGCTGACCACAGGAGGAGGACAGCGAGTCGAACCATCCTAGAGTCTACAGCGCGCATCGCTTTTTGGGTTTATGCTCTCGCAACTCGGACTCTCGAGTTCAGGGGTTTCGGGGTGCAGGGTTGCGGGTACGGATCTATAGGGTGTGGGTCTAGGCTATAGCTTGGGGGCGTGCAGGGCTTTGGGCTTAGTGTTTTGACTCATGATACCGGGCATGTCGGGCAAAAGAATTGTTGAGAGTTCGTGGATTAGGGTTCAGTGTGCTTTATAAGGATTTGAGAGATTTGTATGTTTCATGGCTCTATATGATCTTGCACCAATTTATGAAGCCGTATATAGGGTGTTAGAGTCTCTGCGCGTTGGAATACAACATCGCTCTGGCTTGGGCTGTCCTTCTTCTATGAATGTAGAGGTCGTACTAGTTAGAACAGGTTTTTGGGGCCCCCTGTACTGTGATTCTTATAATAAGGAACCCCAAAACAGTATTGGTAATTAAGCCCCTGTATCACTAGGTTTGGGGTCGGAAAGGTAAGGATGCCGGCGGTTACTGCAACTAGAACTGCAGGAAACAGAACAAGCATGACAAACTTCTACCCCAGTGCCATGCATAAAGTCGTAAAGCAAGCGTCATTTTCTTCTCTGGACTAATGAACTCCATGTTCGGGCGCTGCTTCCCCTCCTGCTCTTGGACTGCGTGCCAGATGACCAACAGGACATTCAAGGCTCCGATCATCACCACGGGCCACAGGCTACAACCGAGCATCCACAAGACCATGCGAAGGGACAGTGCCTCACAGAGTTGTTCAGGTCAGACACAAGTAAACTCAAGCCTCTCTGTCTACTGTGCTTGCTAGCCACCACAAGCCCGAAGCTGCAGACTCAACTGCTGAGGCCTTCTCGGTGTAGAGGAGCTTGAGACCCTGGACTGCCGAGATGGTAGCGACGAGACAGGCAAGCAAGGAGAGCATCAGGGCTTTCGCATGGTGCACTTGCATGGCCACACTCTGGTGCTCCACGTTGGGACAAATTCTGTTGCCATTATGAGCTTCGCACAGCTCGTCTGCTGCATCGTTGAAGTAGACCAGGCCGTTAATGGTGCCCGTTGTGTTTACTGGCAGGACGCCCAAAGCCTCAAATGTCAAAATCTCGAAACACCACCCGTCGCATCTCTTAGAGTCCCAGGTTTGGGTTATATAGGACGGATGCACGTGGGAACTTGGATGAACGATCTGGGCCCAGCCTAAGCTGACAATGCAGAATCCTGAGCTGGGGGTTTCTCTTGTCTTAGCTTAGTGGAGAGCTGGCTGTGGGCATGCAAGTAGCATTGTCTGTGATGAAGGCATCCTCCAAGTGCACTGTCGAGGACTTCAGCAACAGCCCAGCAGCCAGGTTCGTCATACGCACGTCATTCGCTTCTAGATGTGCTGAATTCAGCACGATCCCGTTGCTTTGCTTGTGCTTGCCCACAAGGTCTACACCACTTATGTTAAGAGAAGAGCCGCGGGCTACGATTCCAACGTTGCACTCTCTGCACGTCATGCCGGAGATGTCCCCGATCGTCTGGTCCATGACCACCCCGACTCCGAGGACGCTGCTCATATAAACGTTACGAAGCTGAACGATGCCACGCCTGCTCTCGTCTCTGCTTTGCAGGCTCAAGCCGGCAAGGGTGACCTCTTCCATCGTGACGTCGTGCATGGCCACCTTCCAGTGGTCCGCTTCGATATGGACCTTGCAGGTGCGACCGTGGGTTGACGACACCTGACCATTCTGCATCAGCTTAAGTTCCCGGCAGCACTCCACACCTTCCGAAACTTGACCATGGAGAAAGTCAAATCGAGCGCAAGAGGACCTGCGATGTCACATCATGTCACGTCCTCCGACGCACACACGACACAAGATGTGGAAAGCTTGGGGCGAATAGTTGTAGGAAAGGACACGCCAAGAACAACACTGACTGTACTGGTACGTGGCGGGCAGTTGAAGACGGTTGGAGGTTGTAGTAAGGGTTTATTGAAAGCAGCACTGTGCCAGCAGGTTTGCACATGCCGCTGACACGGTTTACAAGTTTACCGAATGCCTCCTTCGCTGACGGAATCCGAATCGGGAAAGTAATCGATGAACGGTGCGTGGACATCGAAGACTTCCGTGTCGCGAATCTCCACATGCAAACCGATGCCCCTCCAGCTTGTAGCGGTCTGCATTGAGGAACCGACCACCGTGAGATAAGTTTCTTCCGTTGTGGAAGCGTAAGCCATTAGGCAGTATCCGTGGCAGGCACCGAAGTGTGACTTCTCGATCCGAGTTTGGCTGCCACCGTCAATCATCAAGGAGTATTTCCCGATCATGCTGGAGTTTACGATGACCATGCCCTGCTGCGCATACAAGCTACTGTTCGCCAAGGTCGAGTTTACAACGGTTATTAGGCCCAAGTTTGCATTCACATCAGGACCATGGCCCGTTGCTCGTGGTGCTTGGACCATGATGGCAGAGTCCACAATAGTGACATTGGCACCGCAGAAACCCAGATTCATCGGACTCAGGACCGAGCGTTGGATTGTGACAGAACGCAAGCAAGTCTTGCAGCTTAGGGCAACTGTCGGAGGTGAGTCGGATATGGAGCCACCAGTGTGGTGAACTGCTTCCACTGCCACATCGGTTAGAGTCAGAACCAGACACGAACCTTGGAACGAACCGTGCGACAGCTGGAGGCTCTTCAGCATGAGCTCATGATCACACCTTGTTTTTTTCTCCAGCTCCTCGAGCTCTATATGCGCAGCCAAGAATTCCACCTTCGTGCCCGGCTCACCCTGTAACTCCAGCGGGGCGCCGCGTCGCATCGTAAATGTAACGTTTGGGTAGACCTCAAAACTCAGCTCGAACTTTCTCTAAGCTCTAGGCCTCCAGGCGCCCCCCCCCCCGCACCGATGACACAGTCTGAACGTGTAGTTGTAGCTCCGATGACCTACCATCTTAAGCGGCTATACCCTATGTATTCCGGAACCATATATACTACTTGGGAGGATTTAAGAGAGTTGAGGGCACCAGCGTAAACGACGAACCTCAGACAGCGCCAAGCCACCCCTGCCAAGAGATGCACTCGCACAGGCTGAACGTCGAGGGTCCCCAGCACGTTGGAGACGTTCTCAGGCGAAGCCACAATCCTGAAGGGAAAACAGCAGGCCAAACCTGGTGCTAAACAACATCAAAATGAGCTTCAGGCTATACTTAGCTGAACTCTTGGGCGAGCATCGTTGGTGGAGGCTCTTCGATTTCCTCGTCGAGTTGCACGGCGAAGTGCTGAGACTCTCGGTGGGCCCGCACCAGGAACGAAGTCAGAAGGAGACAGAATCTCATGGCCTCAAACATTAAGATCTCATGGCCGTGATTCGAAACACATGTCAGCCCTTCGCCCGGCCTCTAGTCAGCGTGCCCGACGGGCTGCAATCCACCAGGGAGGGGCATACACAAAGATCCTTGGTTGGTGCAAGGGATGTGCGATGGCTGCAAACATCGGCCCCTCTGGTTTCCTAGCTCTTCAGGACAAGAGGCACAAGGAAAGGATAGTTCAGACAGAAACGAATGAGCTCATAGCCAGAGACCGGCTACCTGAAGAGCCAAAGAGCCCAAACACCACGATATGTCAATCTCCATGTGCAAAATGGTCGAGGAATGCAGAGGTCCACACCGAAGGACACTCAGCACTCCGATTTCTCTTCACGCTTCCCTGAAAGACGTGCGAGGATTAGCATTCATGCTTTATAAAACACAAGTTTATATAGCCTGCGCAGACTAGTAAGTTGCACCATCAGCAACTCTCGACAAAATGCTTGGAGAAGTAACCAGATGGTTTCGGAACAACACCTCTGAGCTGCAACATTGGGGGTTTCCACTTCAGACCTTCAAGGATCTGCCGGAGTAACGCCTTTTCCACCGAAGCCTGATCGATCTTCTGGTACTGTATGATCTTGGGACCACGAAATCCCAACCCTGGATCCTCCCTAAGTCCAAGTTTAACATTGAACCCCTGCAGCTGGCAAAGCCGGGAGTAGTAATCAGAGATCAGAAGGCTAACGTCACGACCACAACTCTAAATCCCGCAAAGGACACGAACGCTTTTTTGGCTTCCTGTCGGAGATTCGGCTTTAGGATAGGGATTCTTTGGGCTGGGAGATGACGCAGCAAAGCCTGATCTACTGTGCCGTGCAAGCTCGTTTCCTGCCGCAGCACCAGCTCCACGCAACTCCGCACTATCGTTCTGGAATAGCATTGGCCCGAAGGGTCCAGTACCCAATGAATTAGATACTTGGGCGTGGAGTAACAGTAGTTGTGGGTTTGTCTTACTTCAAAGGAATCAAGCTTAAGGTATCTTGACCCATAAGGCGCGGCTGTAGAGCCGAAACGATTCAAAGAGCCCAAAGAAGGCAACGTGTCGCACACACAGCACTTTCTATGACTCTATATATTCCCTTAGCCGGTTTGGGGTATCTCAGACCAGAAGCTGTCCGGACGAAAATACTGGCACCGCAACGTCTCCTTAGAGTCTACCTATAGTATCCATTGTAGTTCCTTTTTTTGGTTTAACCAATTTTATATTAAGGATCCTAAAAGGTAACCCCAAAAAGGAGCTACAATGGAGACTATAGGTACTGATTCTACTGCGACTGCATCGACACCGGATTCATGTGCATGTTGTTGCACTCTTCATTGAAACAGCAGCTAAACTATACAGCCGCAACTCGTCAATCCAACAACCCACGCAACGGAGAAACCAGGAAGCACAGGACTTTGGGCTCGTGAAAAAGACGGTGCTCTGCAGTTCAGGAAGCACAAAATCATGGACCGGTCGAGGACATCTCGAACCGGCATTGGTCCTTGTTAAGCAGCTAGCTTCTGAGATACCACATCACGACCAATTAGCATATATATCACACTCGCTGACTATTCTGCCTTCTTGATTGATAGAACGACTCAATGCAAGTTCCTTAACAAGACGCCGGGGTATGCCACCGGGTTAAGGAAACCCTGGTGGAGACGCGACGGAACTGCTCCAACTGGGAGTCCGCTGCAGAGTCTTCTTTGAGGGTTTAGAGGATTTAGGGTTTAGGGTTTAGGGGATTTAGGGTTAGAGGATTTAGGGTTTAGGGTTTAGGGTTTAAAGGATTTAAGGTTTAGGGTTTAGGGTTTAGGGTTTAGAGGATTTAGGGTTTAGGGTTTAGGGTTTAGGGTTTAGAGGATTTAGGGTTTAGGGTTTAGGGTTTAGGGTTTAGAGGATTTAGGGTTTAGGGTTTAGGGTTTAGAGGATTCTGCCTCCCATCTGGCTAGGGGAAATCTGTGTTGCAGGGAGAAGCCACAGAGCCCACAATCCGTTTGAGATTCCGAGCAAGTGCAACAGAAATGAAAGTGGATTAGGCTTTAGAGCTGTTCGGGTACAGGGCCCCTTATTTGGGATGCTTACCATATTTCAAAGATCATTTGTTGTTCCAGCTTGGGGGTTTTGGACGCGCTGGGTTTCATCGATACTGCTGGGGAGATGTGTGCTGAGTAACCCAGGGAGCCGTCGCCAGACAGGAAAAAAGGCGGTCAGGAGCAAGTATGGTATTGAAGAGACTCATGTCTGCTGGCTTGGGTGTTGGAGTGGTGACGTGTGTGAGGAAATGAAAGCTGCTGACCATGGAGAAAGCTCAGCCTACAGAGTGCGACAGTCACATGTGAGCCTGCTGGGCAGAGCATAGGTCGGCAAGCGCCCGAACCCTAGCAATAAAGATGTGGCCCCACAGGCCCAAGTTGGAGCATCCCATCAACTTGCAGGCAGAAGGTTTCATCACCCACAGCCTGCCAGACTGAATGTCCCCTTCGTGATCTGTATGGCGGGGGCACCCGGTCTACGAATTCATGAGCCCCGGAGATCTTGATCCGGCCATGTTGGGGTGTGTCGTCTCAAGCTTTGCGCAAGTAATGCTGCGATGTCTATAGCTTTTGAGCCGGAGAAGATCCCGCTGAGAGCTGCAGACTACTATGCATGCAGTCGAGCTATAGAGGCTAAAGGCAACGCTCGGCCAGGCAGAGCCTTTTGTTGCTCATGCTCGGCAGAGAGAGACCGAATATTTTGAAATGAATTAAATATCTAAACATCAGCGACTGGAAGTTGGAAGCCAAAAAGGTTCTCCGAAATGCGTCTGGGAATCCATGATATGACCGCTGTTACATCCCAAATCCCGACAGAAACGCCATTTGGAAGAACCTTGCTTGGAATCCTACAAATCAAGCGCCTCCTCTTGCCAGCGCACTAAGTAACCGTCCTTTGTCGTATTGCTCATGTTGCGACCTCAGCGAGACGAGGTTTGGTGCTGACGCAGTTTACAGCTTGGGCTTTTGAGGAAATGTTTGGGAGCAAGGGTCCTGCTTCTGCGCTCCGAACCCGAAGCTCCAAGTTCTAACAGCATGTCAAAATGCAGAGAAAATGGCTGGAGGTGTACAAGTTCCTGTAGCCTCTGCCTCAACCCTAAACGCTTGAACCGCGACGGCTCGACTCCATGAACACCGCTGTCAAATGCCGAAGGCGCTCCATTCCTGACCTTCGGCCACAAAACCTGAACCTGGCCCCCAAGCCCTTAAAGTGGCCCCCCACCCGGAAACCCAAAAGCCCCACAAACCATACAGCCTGGATATGCTGATCTTGCGCCCAACCGATTCCGGAGCCTTACACACCCTAAGCAGGGAAGCTGTGTGCAGCCAGAGGTGACTCTCAAGTTCAAGCTTGTAGGCATTAGATGGGTTAACAAGCTTAAGGCTTAGGGCATACTGAAACTCCATTCTCCAAGCCAACTCTGTGTCAAGGCAGCTGGATTTGACAGCATTGACGGTGTGCATCTCGCCATGATGAACGGATCCCAGGAGCAAAGCCTGAGAGGCAGATCGCTGCACTTCAGGCCGCAACCTCCGACATACCACCAGAGCCACAGAACCCTGAAGCCCCCAAAGCAACGAACATCAAGAAACCCTGCACCTAACATGCCCCGATCGAAGAGTCTTACGTACGAGCAGGTAGCCTCCCGCCTAAGCACAAACCCCTAATACTAAACCAGCCCGATCAGGATTTCTACATGGCTGAGGAGGGCCCTCATGGTTCCGCAGCAGGGAACCAGGGGGGCTAAGACAGTCGGTAAATTTAAGGGCCTTGATTGGCAACAGGGCTCCGAGGTGTACTATCGTGTACTTTTCCTCAAACCCTGACTCGCTATCGTTCGGACAGCTTCGCCTCGACTCCGTTGTCGCCTGGGCGAACGGCCAGAGCTCGAACAGATCCCTTCCCCTTCTCCTCCAGGGAAGAGGAGCTTAAACAGCCTTTAGTATGGGGCGTACAGTCTGGCTTTTGCATAGGGTTTGGGGTGTGGCGCCGGAGGTACTGAGAACACCGAAGGCTCAGCGTGCTTAGCCTTCAACTTCAACCATAACCTTGAAGCCCCCCCGAAAGCCCCAAACCCAAATTCCATAACCAAAATCCAAATCCTGGAAATCCAAACCCTGCAGCCGGAAACCCTAAACCCCAAAAGCCCCGAGCCCCGTAAATCTGCGGCTATCATGCATCTCTTGAGAGAACCCTTCAGTGAACACTGACGCGAAGGCCAGCAGCCCTAAACCTTCTGAGCCCTAACCCGGTCCTTACTGAAGGGCGTCCAGCGGAGGCGGCTCTGAAGATCAGGGCTGACCTTAATTAGTGAGTTTAGTCATAGTAAGGCTAAGGGTTTAGGATATTAAGATTACCAAGTTAAGGTTATTAGGGGTTTAGGGTAGGGCTTAGGCTTTCTGCGGTTGAGGGTGCGGGACGGCGCGGGGTTCAGGGTTCGGTTTAGAGTCGCAGAGTTGAAGGGTTGAGGACTTTTTGGAGAAGCGGCTGGGATTCCTGCACCCCAAGCCCCAAACCTAAACCCCAAGGTTCAACCGCCGCAAGTCGGATCCGAAGTACCTACTTCGGCACAGGAAGTGGGATTCCTTGGCTGTGAATTGAAACGACCTTCCCAAAGAAGCTTATGGAAGAAGCCGGCATCGGCGATGAGGGTGTGGGGTATGGAGTTTCAGGCTTCAGTGTTCTTTTTGAGCTCCTTGTTGCTCAGGTTTCTAGGTTTATTTAAACCCTCCGATATGCCCTCGTTCGGACACCCACATGGTCCATATACGCTACCAGTATGGAATGAAGCTCCAAGACCATCCTCATACCTAGTTGCATACAAGCAGTGCATATGGACCCTATCGGACATGTACCTTCCATAGCTCTTCTGTTCCAGTGCCCCCCCAACATGATTTCCGGACAAAGCTCCAAGGGCATAATGGAAGACCTGGCTGCATCGTCGGATTTCTTCGTGGTAAATGTAGGTAACTCTAGGAGGTGGTTGGGGTCTAGGCGTATGGCTTACGGGTTCCGCTTTAAGTGTATTTGCAAGAGATTTGGGCGACGTGTTTGTTTGTTTGTTTGGGGAGACAGGCTGGAAGGTTTAATACTGGGCTTGTGTGGTTTGGAGTCACCGACTGGTGCAGTTTGGTTTCTAATACAAGCTTTCAGGGATCGTCAAATCCAAATATGCAGGAACCGGTATGCAGTGTTTCGCAGACTGGGGTGGTTACGGCTCAAGAGAACAAGATTTACGTTAGGGATCGACGAAGCGAAAAGGCTCAGCTTTGCCGGAAACTGCCTAAAACAAGAGCATGCTATCTTTAGGCCAATGCCCCCGTAAACCACTCAACCCCCAAACTTTCACCCTAAACTTTAAAGCAAGCACACTGCGAATTCAATGTACGGCTGATGGTTTCGTAGCCAAGTGCGAAATAAAGCAAGCACGGACAGCTCCAACCGCTCCGAGCCACAACGACCAGGGCCATGTCTCCACCCGCATAACTGCCGACCTGGGGGCTGGAGGGCTTGAAGATGCGTGACCTAGCTAGAGTATAGGGTCATACTTTTCGCTAACCCCCCCCCCCCCCCCCCAAAAAAAAAAAAAAAAAAATAGGGTACCTATCTACCAAACCGGCACATCAACCCTGGAAAAGCCGCCAGGTTCCGGGCGGGCATACGGTTGATGAAGTTGAGGTCGCGCGCTTCGATGCAACAGGAAGATACACCTCCCACGTAGACGCGGCCATAGGAGTCGGCGGTGATGGAACCCTCACAGGGGTTTCTGGGTTTCCGCTTGCTTTGGGGCCTGAGCTGATCACGAATCTTCCGCCGCCTGCACGCTTTTAACTTACCGTTGGTTAGTAGGGAATGGAGGAATGGTAGTAATAGTAGCTATAATTGTACCCCATTCCTCCATTCCCTACTAACCAACGGTAAGGTCAAAAGCTAGATCTCGGGCTGGAGTTATGGCTGTAGAGCTCTTTCAGAGGGCTTCGGGTATCGGGTTGGAAGCCACAAAGCCATCCATCTCCCCACTTTGCTAATTGGGTTAATCCTGCGACTTCTTGCTTCTTGATCTTTATAACATAGGGGCCTTAATAATTGCGTCTGGGTTTGGCGGTATGTTGTGCTATGTTTATACTCGTAAGGCTTAAGGAACCCTTAGGAAGCATTCGAAGCTGAGCACATCGCTGTTTGTCGCTGCCCGTGATACCTCAGTCTGTGCCTGCATGCCTGAACTGTGTTCTCAGGCTCTTAACAGCAGGATCTACGGCCCCAGCCATCACGCCTAAACTCGCACGAGGTCTCTCTGAAGTGCCTCCAGCAATATGATTTCATCAGTCTCCCAAAAAGCTAAAGCCTTAACCCCAAGCCTCTTTGACACGGAAGGTGTTGCTTTTCATGTTGGAGAGCAGCCGCGGGATGATCAGCTTACCCTCCTTCACTGCACCATCCGTGGGGTCCTCAGTTGCTGACGAAGACCCTAAGAGTTGAGGGTTTAGGAGACAGAATACATAATCCCAAACTCTCACAATATTGACTTACATCGCAAAAATCGTAATCCCCAGTACCGAATTAAGGGATCCTTGAGGCCCTTTAGCGAAACATTGAAGCCGCTCAGTCCGACGCCGACGCCTTGAACTCCAAAAACTTCTCAAGCCCTATGACTTAGGGCTTAGAGGTTTAGGAGTTTAGGGCCTCATCTGCCCAAGTCCACGAACCCCGAACTCTTGAAGCACAACCTTCTGAATCGACTCACACAGAAACCTTCTCAAGCCTCCTCCTAAACCCCAGGCCTTGAAACCCTAACCCCACAATACCTCCTCAACCCTCCAAACCCTAAGCCCACAGCACCCAAAACCCCGAGCCCTATGCAGCCTAAAACCCTTGAGCCCTGCTATAGAGGCCGTCATAAATTAACGGAGGATTTTCGGGCATAACACCGTACTAGTGTGTACATATAGTGAACCCTGAAATAGTATAGGCATTTATGGAAGCCCCTCTACTCTGCCCCTCCCCAACCCCGAAAAAAGCCGAGCTCCCCGCGATTCGGGCGAAGTAGGCCATGTGCGCAGAGCCAGCGTTGAAGCCATGGTCGAAAATGTCCTCCATTCAGGAGTTTTTGGCCTCACTGAACCCTTTTTACACCTGGACTACGCATATGCCAGGAACTGAGGCTCAGTGAGGCCTAAACCCTAAACGCTGAGCCCTAAAACCATTCAGAGTTTCGGGTTTCAAGGGAGCAGCAGCCGTCTAGCCTACCAGCAAGGCTCTAGTCGCTTCTCGTCAGGGTTAAGCGTAGCTTTCTCCTAGTTAGAGGCTTGCTTCGGGCACATTCGAAGGATAAGAGGGCAGCCAGCAGGGGGTCATCCTTGTAGCTGAGAACCCTCTAAGGTTGTTTGTGACATAAAGGAGGTTTCAGGGTTTAAGGCAGATATTTTTCTATTGTACTATATCCCGTTGCCCAGTACGGACCCCAAACCCTGTCCGTGTACTTCAATCGCCGGTACTCGGACTCAAGCAGCGTCACGTTGCTGATTGCGCCCTTTTCCGGATCATCCTCCTTGCTCTGGCAGTGCCTTTGTCAGTGAGGTTGGCTCTCTGAGCCAGCATTACTAAGTTTAAGTTGGCTGGGCCTGATCTCAGGGAAGCGGTTAAAGCCAGAGGTTGGGGGCCGGCATAAAAATGATGTCTTCAGGCTAGGGCATCTGCATGCAGGGTATTAAATGAGGTGCGGATATCACGCCTTGACCCTTGCGAAGCGGCTTTATTCGGCGAGGTGCTTCCCATCCCAGCGGAAGATGCTGTTGCCGCCGGCCGTCTCCCCCAAAATGTAGAGCTGCCCATCCTGCACACCGAAGTGAACCAAACCAACAAGATAAAGAGATCAGATACGAGACCTCTTGAACCTCAAACTTTCTGCAAGCCCCATAATAAGCCGTCTCACTTCCATGTCTGCGATGCTTGAAGTCTGAGCCGATTGGAGGATCTGTGGATGCAGTCAACGCCATGAACAGCGTAAAAGCATTCATAAGATAGAAGTGACACAACAATGTCCTCCACAGCCGAACCCATGAGTCCTAAACCGCGTCCCAACACCCTGAAACCCAACACTGCTGTCCCCGGTTATCGCCTGTAGCCCCTCTCCTTGCCCTCACACGTAAGCAAATCAAAACATGCACCGTGTTTCAAGCTCAGTACGCTTCGGCGGTTTGCCAGCCAGGGTTTCTCGGCCCAGGTTTTTTAGGGTCTTGGGGCGTCTAGGAATTTCCCGAAGCTCCGAACCCCGAACCCTCTCCTGACCGAAAGCCACACGGTAGAGGCGGGTGTCAGCCATGTCCCAATCGACCAAATTCCTTGAGATTATGTATCGGGGTAAGTGCTTAGGGCTCGTTGGTTCACTTAGCAGGGCTCTGAGGGTTTCTTTATGATGGCAGCGCTAGCAGAGCGGTCCTCAAAATGAGAGAGAACTTTCGCATGGACTTACGTCGTACGTAAGTCCCTGCAAGAGTTTCTTGCAACCCGAGCACAGCTTGGCTTCCAGGATTCGCAGGCTGCAAAGACTCTTGTAAGGATCAGGGATTAGAGTTTAATATCAAGGACAGAAATGTGCTGATCTCACACGAAAAACACACTGGCGGCAATGTCTCACTTCAGCACTTCTCAGGCTTATGATGTACGAAGCCCTATGCTTAGTAACAAGCGTCCGAAAGCCCAAACACACCCCGGAGCTCAGACCCGAAATGCTAAACCAACGCGCGTCCCAAGCCCTTCATAGGATAGGCATCCAGGACACCGAAATCCTAAATCCCACCTCTTGAACAAACTCTTACCTCTGCATTCCCCTGAACCCCAAGCCCTGAACCCCGAACCCTGAACCTTTTTCAGCATGGGCTTAGATTGTGTGTCAGCGAACACTCCGAACCCTGAACCCGAAACACTTGTGGACCCCACTTCGCGCCGAACGATGCTGAACGAGGTCTTGGCCGCGGGGCGGATCGAAGTCGAAGGTTTTCCAGAGCCAGGGGTCCGACAAGTTGGCCGCGTTGAAGGCATAGACAAAGGCCAGCTGAACCTTGAGGACGAAGCGTAAAGAACAAAGCGTTTGTGGACCAGGACCATGGCTATATCCCGAAATAAGGGCTGTCTAAGTTTAGAAGAGAGAGTGGGTGAGAAAGAGAGAGAGGGAGAAAAAAAAAAGAGAGAGAAAGAGAGAGAGAGAGAGAGAGAGAGAGAGAGAGAGAGAGAGAGAGAGAGCGAGGGGAGAGAGAGAGAGAGAGAGGGATATATATATATATATATGGGTGAGAAAACTTATCTATCTATCGATCTGTCTATCTCTGTAGACCTCCATGTACTTGTAAGGGTGCTTAGTCCATAAGGCTACGGGCTTCTGAAGTGCTGTGACGCAGGCGTACCGTACTTAGGGGTTCTCTTCTATGAACCACCGCATTTTGGGATCTATACTGTTTGGCCCTCGAAGATCGAACCCACGCTTCGGTTTGAGAGTCTAGCGTTTGAAATCGTGTGAGCCCTACATGTACCCTGAACCCTAAACTCCTCTGCATCGTGGAAGCGGGCTTTGGGTGCAGAGCTCAAGGTTTTCAAGTTCTTTCGGGCTGCTTGGGGTGTGGGGTTCAGGGGACAGGATTGCCTAACCAATCCTAAACACAACTGGGAATATTCAGGTATATTCTGGTCGCATGTACTACTTGCTGGCGACTTCAACAGAATACTCTCGGCACATCCGTGGTGACTAGGCCGCCGGTAGGACTTGAATCGAAAAGCTGAGCCCGAAAGTCTGCCTATATCCTACGCCCGAAATGCGAAAACCTGAACCCCACGTGCTAGCACCACTGAAGCTGTACAACCTAAGTTACAGATCCTACAAGACATCCAACAAATATCCGAGCCCCCAACTCGAAATCCCTACACCCAGCACCAATAATGCTTCAAAAACATGGAACCTACAAACTCCAAAGCGGCCGAGCTTCCGGATTGCTCCGGCCACTTCCATCATCCTCGTTCCGACCGTTGCGGAAGCCAACCGCATACACCTGCCAATCGACAGTCATGGGTTGGTGGTCTCCGGCCGTGGGTGTGGTACGGCGCGCTGGGGGTGTTTCTTGTGTTGCTTCAACTTTCGATGGGCTCATGGACTCGTCGCGGTTTACAATGGCACTATATACTCATTTCCGAAGCTTAAAGTTTCGGAGCTTGACGCCGCTGGGCCCAGGCCTAAACAGTATCGTGGCAGAACTTATGCATGCTGCGCATATCTCCCCTCTGGAGGAATCTGGTCGCAAACCCTACACCCTAAAACGGAAACCAAAAGCAAGCACGGCCTTCGTACCATCAGGAGAGATGGCCACGTCCTTGGGGTAATCTCGCGGTATGGTGTCACTGGACACCAGGGAGCCTGACGTTCGAGGGCATATTCTTGCACCTTCCATCACCTACTTTTTGGTAAGCTTCTCATGCTTGCATACATGTGAATGCTCCACAACCAGTTAATCTGGGGTCGTTAACTACAATAGATTGCTGTGTTTCCGGTATAGAAGATTTATCCAGGGGTTATCAATACTATCACTACCTGTCTAAGCCTCACAGTCGCTTCTAATTAGTAGACTCATGAGTGAATCGAATGTCAGTTCGGATTCGCAGTGCATCAGCTTCGGATGAGACAGTCTTGAACCAAAGCCAGACAGTAGACCCTCAATGCTTTGGCAAGGATAACGTCTTTTTTCCGGCTTCCCAGGGTTTCAGGTTTCATGGATAGCGTCTCGAAGCCCGATAAACCTTCAGGCACACCGGAACCAAACCGGCAGCAGCAAAAGAGCTTCGCGTTTAGGTATTGCTTGATGTTGTCGTCTTGGGTACAGCTCACAAGTCGAGCGAAACAACCTTCTAGTATAGAAGAGCCTTTAACCCCGGTTTGCTTCTTCCAAGCAAGACCATGGTGGGACCCAGTAGGCACGCTAACAGTCCGGTAGGAATGAACACGCTCGAATAAAGCAACATCGCAGCAGTCTTACTCCATGCATCTAGCTGGAGTGGGCGGTAGAGCTTAAGATCGCTTGTGGACATCCGATGCCACAACACGGAACCTACGGGGGCTTTGCCGGTTGGAGCATCCATCTTGTAGGATGTAGAAAGGCTCTGAATCAAGCCCTACAGGCGAGTCCTGTGTCGTCCAGCACCGCGACGGTCTTTTGATACAGTACGGCCGTCTTCCCAGCAGCCGTGCTGACCTCGCTTAGGGTTGTAGGCTGCTCCCATCTCTTTCTAAAACACTTTTTTTCTTGCCAGTACCGCTACTCTTGCTTCCACCGTTTCCAACTAACTGTGCTGGTACCTCCCAGATGGTTTAACTGGTCAATGAAGGCATCTTTGACAGTCAGTCGGACAAGCCCAGGAAAGGTTTGTGGCGACGTTGACAAAAGGTCTGGAAACCCAAAGCCCTACAGTAAGGCGGTGGCTTGGGTCAAACTCACGTATCTCAGATCTGTGCAACCGCCTGGAAGCCACAGTGAGAATGAGCCTACAAACATGTTGATAGGGGCCGATCTCCCAAACCTTGTTCGAAGGATTAAAATCCCTAAACCCTATTTGGGGTGGGCATGTCTGTAGGCTTGCCAGGTCTTCCTCACATGGACCCAGCCAAACCCTTATACAACGAGGTCTCTCTCAAGTGCCTGAGCTAAAACCGTATAGACCCTATTTAATTCCTAAACCCAGAAGGCCCCAAAGCCGTAAATCCGAAACTTCAACCATCGCACACTACACTCCGACTTTAATGCCATAAGCCTTGTATATATCTTAAAATCCTGCAGTGTAACCCTCGCGCACTGCACTACGACCCGCCACGGCTCAAACCCAAACCTCCGAACCACTTTGACCCCACCCCCACCCAGCTAGCATCAAACATAGCCTCATGCCCTTGGAGGATCGAGGGTTTGGGACTCAAGGACTACGAACTCTTGGTTCAACGCGTCCGGGGTTTAGGACCTGAAGAGCATCCGGATCTAGCATTCTAAGGTGTAGGACTCTAAGGCTCCGGGAACCTCCATCCTTCTAAGACGTTGCTGCAGCTTCGGTACACGCACTTCGCCGGAGAGGTCCGCGGGAGCCCAACTCCACACCTCATGCCGGGCCAAAAGCTGAGCGCAAAGCACCCGAACGCAAAGAACAGGGAGAAAAGTGATAAGAAGCGCACGAGTAATGCCAGAAGCTTGAAACACGTAAAAGACAAAAGGAGGAGCAACGAACTCACTATCCTTACGTACAGAATTAAGTAGCAATTGTTTCGGGCCATATACTATGCACCCAAACTCTGTCTGCACCTCGCTGAAGTTGGCAGCCGACACATCCATGCGCTTCACCTGAGAGCCAGTGCGGATCGTAGCAAGAACACTTCAAGCCTAGGGGATTCTTTTAGGATCTTGTTCTGCTACGATTTGCCAACTTCCTCTCTCTCTCTCTCTCTTGCTTGCTTGCCGGGCTTTTGGGGTGAGGGAAAGCGAGTTCCCCTCCCCCTGCGCGCGAGCGCTATGCCTCTCTCTCTCTCTCTCTCTCTGCTTGTTCGGCCTCTGTTCTTGTCTGCTAGCAGCTGCTAGCATGTAGCTCCTCCCAATTTGGCGCAGTGCGGATCGTGCATGTAAGAACCAGATGAATCTTGCACTAATCTGGCAGGAAGAAGCTCGTAGAGTATCATGGTTCAGACCCCAGGCCCTGTAAATCCCAAACCTTCAAAACTCTTGGAAAGCCCCAAACCTTGCCATTCACTACTTGTGGATCCGGACCCTAAATCCTAGAACACTAGAGCTCCAAGGCATTCCCTGTTGTCAAAGGCGCCAATCTTCGGATCCGCATTATGATCCTGATCAAAGGGGTGGATTTTATTCATGAAGGGTCTACATTATGTAAGTCCGGCGGCTCCGAAAGAACCACTGACCACCAGCGAACTTTCGTTGCTCATAGCGTCCAGGTCATAGACGGTCTCGTTACCTGTGGCTGAGTTTAGGGCTCGATGGGGCTTTGCAGGCGGGTTCTATGAGGCTGGGCTAGAGTTTTGGGTGCAGCTCCGTTTTTGCTGCTTGGTTCAGTTTGTCTGTGCAACTCAACAGCAGCCTCCTCAAATTTGAGGGCTCAGAGTACTTGACATCTGTTTCTTTTGTTTTTGGTGACGGCTTTTCTCAACACCATCCACATGTGAAGCTTGAATTTCGGGGTTGCGTCTGCAGGCATGGGAACTTGTGAAACTTGGGTAAACGCCGCTCTGATTGCATAGATTTTCTCTGAGACCCCGCCCCCCCCCAGCAACGCCTTTGAAAAGCAGGGGAAGACACCCCAAGCCATACAGCCAGCTTGCAAACTGTATAAGACTTGTAGTGGACCTTGCAATTTTGACATTTTAACCAGGTCGGCCCACATAAACTCAGCGCGTACCGAACTAGCAGCTAGACAGACAGGCGCGTGGCTCGGGCTCGGAAACCTCACGGGGGTTTCGCGCATTGATATGGCTCCAGGGTTTAGACTTCGGACTGTAGGGGAGGGTCTGGGCGAAACTGGAATTCATCCTAAAACCTATTTTAAACCTTCTGAACCTTTAAACGAAACAACTGAAGCTCCGTAACAAACTTGCTATGTTTCCTTCTGCCCGCCGCGGTGCCCAGAGAGTACTCAGTCTGCACGCCGGACCTCTGATTCTTTGCTGCTCCGCTTAGCGTATCAGGCTTCGGTGTACGGTTTTAGGTGTTTTTTCCTACCTGCTTCGCCGACTAGGTCGCAAGGGTTTAGGTTGCGGGCTTGGGGATAGGTCATGTTGAATTTCTTTGGATCTGTAGGTGCTGAAAACCCATGCGAGTTGGGTTTCGGACTTGCGCCTTTGTGATTAATTAGAGTCTCGACAGTTCACAGTTTGCTCCTCGTTTGGCATGGGATATTTAATCTATTTGTCACATTAAGTTTCATGCTCGCTAGGGGCTCTGTGGGGTTTATATGGGTTTGTTCAGGGCTGGGCTCTCAAGGCCTTTGGTTGTTGTTTCAGCCCCTGGGTCGTGAAAACTCCTGTAGGCCTTCGAAAATTAGCGCGCATGTTCATGTTAAGTCCCACCAAGCTGACACATGACTGAAATGCGAGTTCGACAGAACTGACGTCATGATTCCGCACTCAGGAGAAAAACCCTGAACTCACACAGTTGTGGTAACGCCCCACTGTCATGCTTCGAGGAGACCCAGTTCTACACCCGAGAGGCCATTTCGACTTAAGCCTAACCTAAAAGCATTCAGCCGAAAGAGATCAGAGAAAGGCCCAGGTGCTCGTTCATCAGAAGCAGCTTGCCAACCGAACCGAAAGTTCCGGCCACAATCATCTTCCCGTCGCTGGTGAAAGCTGCTCCCACTGCTTCTCCTGCAGAGTACAGGGACGGGGGACTTGACCGTGTACTTGGAACTTTGATAACCTGTCCTTTTTGTAGGCGTTCGATTCGAGGCATAGGGGGGGTGAAGGAACTTCGCTTGTCGTTGTTTGCCATGGGTCTGCAGTGTTATCATTCATGTTGTCGTTAGCACTGTTAGAAAAGCTCTTAGTATTCTTTTGTTCTTGTCAGCCTATCGTCGTTACTAGAAACTTCTGCTACCCGTGCCATTAATCCCAAATTTCTCGACACCAGCAGTAGCTACCAACCCAAACCCCTAAACCCTAAACCCTAAACCCCAACCCTAAATCCTAAACCCCCAAACCCTCAAACCCGAAAGCCCTAAACCCCAAACCCTCTGAATCCCAAACCCTGAATCCCTAACCCAACTGAGCATCAGGCCTTCTTCCGGCAGATACGTGGCCAGCGAAGCCTGCAAGTTCCGATCCTTCGGCGGCAAGGAGGAGATGTCCTGACATCTGATGCCCCTACGCAAGCTCTTAGGGGCTCGGGGGCGCCGTTAAGGGTTTAGGGTTTAGGGTTTAGGGTTTAGGGTTTAGGGTTTAGGGTTTAGGGTTTAGGGTTTAGGGAACTTAGACCCTTTAATTTCTCGTTCAAGGGTTCAGGGACTGAGATCAGGATCGGGATGCAAGGCTCCGGATTGATTTGCGGTTTGGCCTTGTTAGGTGTAGGCCCAGCGGCTTTAGGTTGCAATCAGGGTTGGGGGCCTAGGACTTCCAGGTTTCGAGGCTCACACTCGGACACCGCAGTCCTTGAGGTTTGAGGTTTCGACTCACACACTCGCACAAGGCAGGCATGGCTTCAGGCACTGGGTTTGAGGTTTGGGGTTTGGGCTTTGGGGGTTTTCGGGTTTGAGGAGTAGGATTGGGATTTGAGTGGGCTTGGCGTCTAGAGGGTTTTGGGTTACGGAGCCCGGGCCAGTCTAGGTCTCAGAGCATGGCTGAAGAACTGAAAGGTATGATTTCAAGTTTCACCTTTCTCTCTAAACCCTACCGGGGCCTTAGTCCCTAAGCCTAAAGCAGGTAAGAGGGGTCCTTGGTAGTCATGACCGTCCTCGAAAAAAAACTAACTTGAGCCCTATACAGGTAGCTGGTAGTCATGACCGTTCTGGAAAAAGGTACTTGAACCCTAAACCCTAAACCCTACGTCCTTGGTCATCGTCATGATCGTTCCCTCATTCCGTCGGCGGCGGCGCGTGGGGTCGCCGCGTCGCCGGCGATTCTCGCGCACGAAAGTCACCAGGCGCTCACCTGACGGATACTTTTCAGAGGTTTAGATAGGGTTTAGAGGTTTAGGGATTCGAGGTTTAAGGGCTTAGGGATATGTAGCTGGAAAGCTTTCGGCGCTCACACTCGGACACTCCAGGCGAGGCATGTGGTTCGGAGTCAGGAGGAAGGTTTTAGGGATGTGGAGGTTAGGGGGTTTGGGGTCTGGGGGGGCCCTGACAGGATGGGCAGTACAAAAGAGTCGGCATCGTGAAGGACCAAATGACCCTTACAAGTAGGGGCCTTATACCCATATACTATGAATCCCTATACATATATATATATATATATACACGGTATATAAGCCTTAAACCGTTCTAGGGTTCACTTCGCCCTTTAGGATGTTAAGGAAACTGCGAACTCAAGGAAGCCCAGTCGACGAAGTAAAGCCTTCTATGGAGTCCAGAACACTTTGGGATGAGATCTAGCATCAAAAAATTATAAGGGTGGTTGTCAAAATTAGGGTTCCTTCTTGGGCACCCTAAATATTAGGTGCCGTATAATAAGGACCCAAAAAGGGACCCTAATATTGACAACCACCCATATGAGTGTGTATATGGACTACAATGGGATACTCTTCCATACCCTACAGTGGTTTAAGGTTTAGGGTGTAGGGTCCAAACCGTAGAGCCGATGGCTAAGGGCCAGCACCCCTTGAAGGGAGCCAGGGATTTGGTTTCAGGCTGCTCGGAGAATCGGGTGACTTCATAATGAGGGCATCCCCAAACCCATGGCCCATATATAATCCTAGTGATCCAAAAGACCTGTACATAGTAGGTTAATAATTTAGACTAGTTCAGAACCCGTAATACTCCCGGCAATGCGACTCGGTTGGCTGGGCTTCAAATTTGGGACAGGGGTGCTATATTGAACTTAGAACCCTAGCAGAAATTGTAATTTTAGCTGTTTCTTAGGGATTATAATAACAAAAAATTTAAAATTATGCTAAGTACCCCTAAGGTTGGGGGAGACTTGGGATCTGCAGGCTCCGAGGCGAAATGCTACACTCTCGCACCTCCTGGCGATGCAGTCTCAATCAAAGGCGCGTGGAACCGAGCTGGAAACTCAGCTTGCAATCCCAAACCCGTAGGACACAAATGTCTCCATGATGATGGTTTCAAACTTTCAATACCCTAAACCCGATCTGGCCACCTCCCTCCATCAGCACAGCTCCGCTCAAGTGCAGCTCAGTGGAATTTCCAAACGTTGGCGGAGCAATCTCATGACGCCTTGCACAACAAGCAATATTTTGGGTTTGGGGGTTTGTGGTTTAAGGGCGTATGTTTTAATGGGCTTAAGATTTGAATTATACTGAAGCTTGCATAGAGTATGTTTCGCGCCAAGCTCGAAAGCTGTCTTCTGTCTTCAGGTTTTTTACGCTTACAGGGTTTACGCGTGTCGGCGCTCACTGAATGTCGGACGTGCCAGGCCAAGTTCCGCAGGGTTTTCAATATGTGGGGTTCTGTTCATTGCTGCTCGTGGAAACTATCACCATCTCCAACCAAACAACCTCCGAAAAGACTCCACAAAGTGCTATCCTCTGAGCCCCCATACTGGAAACTACCATGACACGACTCGGATCCCTACCATACGCTGTAAGGGAATTCCGTAATTTATGATCTTACCCTCCCCACCCAGAACTCGAGTTCAGACTCCCTGTGTCCAAAACAACCCTCCCCGAGACCCGAAACTTCCCCAACACTTGACCCGACTTGAACCCGAAACTTCCCCAAATCCCGAGCCGCTAAACCCTAAACCCTAAACCCAACTCCCGAACCCTCAACTTCCCCTGATCCGAAGCCGTAAACTTCCTTGAATCCTACAGCGAACCCCAGCAAGCTGGAACATTGAATTAGGATGATTGCTGCTAGGATCATTTAAACGGCTCAGAAAATTCTAACTTTCGGACTCCTACCGTAAACTTCAAACCCCAAACTTCCCCAAGTCCTAAACTGCAACATCTCCTAAATCTTTCCGAAGTCCTAGACCCTTAAAATCCATTTTTTCTACTGGACTCAAGTCTAGCCAGCCTACGACGCGCAATCATCTTGACCGAGGGCGAAAAGCAGTACCCTTAACTTCCCTAAATCGCCCTAAATACACCTACGAGGTTACCTTCTAGGACTCCTTTTTTGAATTCCTTACACAAATCCTCAACAAAATTCTACCCTAGAGGCTGCCGACTTCTGCGTGTATCTCCTGAAACAGGTAGGAATTTCGGGCCACGGGCAGACCAACCTACTTTTTTGGAGGACTTCTGTACAGAAATCATATTACGGAACCCTAAACAGGTAGGTCCTGTCGGTTACATACAGATAGAGCCTGCCTGAGGGTCTCTACATTCTGGCGGATGAGCTTGTTGCCCCTCGGCTGATGGAAGAGGTGCTGCCCGAGCCATTTCAGCCTCATAGAGATGTGGCGTCATTCAAGATTTCTTGGGATTTTGGGATTCATTCAGGGTTTCTTGAGAGTTGTGGGAACAAAATGGGTGACAGGTTTCTGTTGGGGCTTCTACGGCTTTGGGCAAGATGCTGGTGCTTGGGGAACCTTGTGACGATCAGGGTGCGAGGATTGGGTTGGTCCCTCTGATCAATGAAAACCAGATTTTTTGTCACTCGTGCTCGACAAGTCAGACGAGGAAAACCAGATTACGTACCTCAAACGGATTTATACTAGGGATCCTATAGATTGAAGACCCGCAAAGAAAGGGTGTTTTTAGGTTGAGAGTTTAGTTACGTTCAGGGTTTCGCAACTCAGAACTCCATTGCTTGAACACTCGGTGCAGCCGTACTCTGCAAGCTGGCGGCTTGGCGTTGCCCCAATAATAGTCCTCAGCTTCTGCAGTCCATCGGCTCTGGGTCTAAAATATCTAAACATCGGCTCTACCTTAACCTACCAAACCCTACAAAAGTCCCTATAAATTCCGTATTAGGGCTTAAAATAAGAACCTACAAAAAAGTAGGGTTTGATAGGTTAAGGTAGGTCGAGAGTATCCAAAAACATTGGATCATACAGAGAGGCGCACGGCAACCGCAGAACTTAGAACGTCTGAATACTACAAAGGCCACCCAGGCTCAAATTGCCCCTAACAGCCCTGTAACAATGTGGTATAGACGGTATAGAACTACGGCCCCAAAGCCTTCAACACATAGAACTACGGCCCCGAAGCCTTCAATGCATGAGTCTTTTGGAGCCTGGTTTTGGTGACAAGATGATCAAGAAAACTACTCAGGAGAAGTAACTCCCTAAATGCTGAACCCAAACCCGCGGCCCGAAACCCCACGTGTCAGATGCTAACGATTTAGGATATAAGAGTTTAGGGTTTAGGGTTTGCTAACGACCATGCGACCATGAGTCAATCTTGTTCCAGGTGAAGTTGTCCGCAGCATCCAGCTGCCAAATTCCCCACTCCGTGCTGCCGTAAATGGTTCCGTTCGGGTCGACCACCGTCTCTCCTGGGCTCTCGGGTTTAGCGTTTATGGAGGCTTAGGGGCGTCGGGTTTACGGTTTAGGGTTCAGGGGTATTTAGGATTTAAGGGTTCTAGGGCTCTAGATGCCTCTGGAACACCCATGGGGCCGCAGCACTGCCCCAGCATGTTGCGAATGTCAATGTTGTGGCTGATGTCCACAAAGTCGTCTTTGGACTCCTCAGCTTTGTGACCCTTTGGCACAGACTTGCACATGCCCGCGTGGATCTTAGGCCGCTGCTTCATGATCCTACACCCTCAGCCTGAAACCCTACAAGGGTTGGAGGAGGGTTTACCCTAAACCCTAAATCTAGGGTTGCTTGAAACTTGCAACTCCAACGCCTTCCTTCCAAGAGATCTCTCGCTCATGTATCCTCAACTGCTGGCAGTGGTACGGTCCCACTAAGCTTGGACGTAAAACATGTGCTTGAGCGAGATGTGTGCATGTATCTGACATGTATATTCACGTCTACATGTGCCTATCTCCACAGCGTGCACTCTTCGCCAGCCACTACAATTTCAAGCCTCCCTCTAAAGTTCCTTCCTTGGTGCAAGTCACGTCGTACAGCAGCATCACATTGCCGGGTACCTGCAAGCCGATTTTGCACTCGAGCCGTTTGGCTGCATCCCCTCTGGTTGGGTCTACAATAGGGGCCGTAATAACTACCTACATTATTTTGGGGGCTCCTGATTATAGTTATAGCATTATAGGCCCCAAAACCCTATTGTATTGTTGAGGCCCCAAAATAGATCTCTTATAGAACCCTTAAAGGAACCAGTATATAGATCCGCTAAAAGGAACCCTGTTCCAATTATTGAGGCCCCTATATTTGGACCCGGAGAAGCTCAGAATTTGAAAATTTGAGGTTCCAGGGTTAGGGGTTCGGTGCGAGGGTTAGAGTCCGCGATCTCTGTTTTCAGGGTTAAGCGCACTGGGCCGTATCTCTCGACGGGGTATTCGGGAATAGGCGAATAGGTATGACTTACGTGTTAGATTTATGCTATGCTTACGTATCCTTCGCGGGCTCTCTAGAAGCACAGGCAACCCTACCGAAATCACGAGCAAGATATGGCCAGCCAAGGTACTTTTGGTTCTCTCTCTCTCTCTCTCTCTCTCTCTCTACTATTTCCTGCCGCGCAATAAACCCTCGTACCGTTCCGTAATCCTCTGCGTCTTGTATCTGTTTATCGATTTATCCAATCTAACCGTCTATCCATCTATTTATCCATGAATGTCTCTGTCTATGCACCCCCTAAACCCTGAACCCCTAAAACTTCTCTCTCTCTCTCTCTCTCTACCCTTTTTGCTGCAGGCTTGCTTGCAAGGACCCCTAAACCCCTAAACCCCCTAGGCAGTTTCTTGCAACCCCTGCCTTCGGTCCCCGTGAGCCCTCGCGCTTGTTCAGGTACAAACGGTCCTGCCGAAATGTAGGGCTACTTAGAGGCTCATGCCCTACCCCTGTTTAGGAGACGCAGTTTTATGATTAGGACATGCTATATATGTATGTATGTATATATATATATATATATATATATATATATATAGAAAAGTAAATACTCTACAAAAGGGGTAGGGTATGAGCCTACAGGTAAACCCCAGGCCTTATCCCATCTAAGCTCTGTGAATCCTGAAAGACACCTGCATTCATTTTCTTAAATCATGTATGCCGTACAAAAAACCATATCGTACTCTCAACCTTCAGGTGCACAGCATGTTGTTGCTGCAGCACCTGCAGCCCCAGTTTGACCACATTCAGGAAGTCCCGACAGGGTCCCTGAATCCGAAATCCTGAACTCACCTCAAGCCTCTGATGAATGATCCCGCTACCTCACAAGGGAATATCATAGGGATCCTGACAACAAGGCACTTACGGACAAGGGCCTGCAAATCCACACTATGCTTAAGCTGCTGCTGAAAACCTTGAGCTTTCTAGACTAAGGAAGTTCAAACCGGCACCGGGCTCCTCGGTTCGAAGCTTTAGCTTGTGAATGAGGCCCCACCCGAAACCGCATAACAACCCTAGTGCTGCGGATGCATGGACTGTGCGGAGCGCTGAGTTCTACATTACATCCCAAACACTAGACCCCGGTGCTAAACTCTAGATCCCCTGGGGGGCCTGGGAACCCTAAACGCTAGACTCTAAACCCAAACCCTAAACCCTAAGCCCCTAAACCCTAAACCCTGGTCCTTGGAATCCACCAAGACCTTGACATGGTGTGTGGTGATCGCCGGGTGCGGCCCTACCACGTGCATCCAAGGCTTGCCTGAGTTTTGGATACGGAGACACCACCACGAGCCCTTCTCGGTTCTTTCAATGGTGCCCTTGTTGTTGCTGCGGCCCTTGGAGCATGGGCATTTCTGGCTTACAAGAATGATCGTCGTCAGCACAAACAACCCTACGTCTACGTGTTGAGTATGTCTCTATGCTCCCTCTGTTTAAGGCCCTGAAATGCCCTGACCCTCATCCCCCTATCCCGAAAACTTCAAGCCCCACAACCACAACCGTACACCCTTGACCTCGGCCCCTAAACACTGTTACCCTGTGAGACTCCCAAACCCTCGACCATGCCACATTTCAAAGGGAAGCTAAGGCGTCACCAAGAATTAAGGCAAAGTGCAGCGGGCCCCTCAAGTAGTCTAGCTATCACCACCAAGCCGGAGTGTCTACTGTTTTCTCGCCAAGGAACTTATCTAAGTTATCATCATAGGGATCTATGGTACCCAACCGAGTCTCCTCAACATGGTACCTCCAAATATAGGGTTTAGGGCAACAAAAAGCCCACAACGTTCATTTGCATTCATCCTCAGAGGCTTTAGGGTTTCGGGTTGAAGAGTCAGGCTTCAAAAAAAGGTCTCGAGTCTAGTATGGTATGGGGCTCACGGCTCAGGGTGTCAGGTCTGGGGCTTCGGGTTTCGGATGCATTCCAGCAGAAGAAGCCCAAAAGTTGGTAACTCGAAAGCCTCAGTCCCTAAGATCTTAAGAGGTCATGTATCGGGAATCCCAGCACTAATTGTCCTTAGTCCGGCTCCCAACTTTTTGGGGTTGACTCTAATTAGGGCTTATTGTTTAGGGCAGTCCTCCCAAAAGGCCACGCAGCCCAACACCAAGTATGGCCGGTCGTTGAGAGCGCTCTCCGTGGTCGTCACTGTGAAGTATGAGCCCTGGCAAACAGCCGGCGTCTTTAGGGTGTGAGGGTCTAAGGGTCTTGGGGTCCCCAGACCTTCCAAAATCACTTAATTAATTAAGGAATATACCTTACTTCATATTAGGGATCTTACTATAATTTAAGGTCTTGGGGTCTATGGGGTTTAGGGTCTAGAGTCTAGCGTTTTGGGGGCTAGTGTTCAGGGTATATACGGTTTAGGGGTTCAGGGATTAGGCAACATTGGCTTCGCCACCAGAGACTCCGAAACACCCCAATCAAGGAATGTAGCCTGAAAGTGTACAGGGGTCGCTACAGAGCCCTAGAGACTCATATCGGCGTTTATGGCCTTGGGCTTCAAGGCCTTAGGCTTTAAGGTTTCGGAGCTGAGGGCGATAGACTTCAGAACTTCGGGTCCGAGGGCTTTCGGGCAGTTAAGGCTTGGCTCGGCAGCACCTCCGAACCCCGAATCACCGCTTACGACAACCCACTTGGGAGTTTCCGAAACATAGGGGACCCTAATATAATAACCTAAATAGTAGGATCCTTATTATCAGGACCCCAGAAGAAGGTACCCCTAATTTTCGGAAAGCCCCACTTCAGCGAGTCAACTGGACCAACATCCCGAACGTTCTGCACTAAAGCCTTCACGCAAACTTGAGGTCTGGCTCTGTCTACGACGGACACTAGACGTGACACCCTAATGTGGGGCTTTGCGGATGAGGCTCGGGTTGCTTTAACGGGTTGTGTAAGGGCTTCGAAAACGGTGTCCTTAATGCGTGCAAAAAGCTTTGTGTGTGTGTGTGTGTGCGTGTGCACATACATGCGTTGACCATTAGCGAAAGTTGAAACATGTTGAAACCCTGAACCGTGAGGCATATAAGAATGGCAATCATTCAGTCTTCTATCTAGCAAGCACGAAACCCGTTGTGGAGCCGGGGCTCGAATGGTAAACTGACGTTGGTAGTCAGAGTCAGGCAAAGGCTGGACTGACCGATCTTGGATTGCACCTGAAAGGCGTTGGGGTTTAGGGTAGAGGTCTTGGGGGTTGAGACCTTCTGGCTGTCATGTACCGGCTGATTTCATTGTAATTCCTCCGCAATAGCTATAGCAACACTATAGTTCGGGATTGCCACTACAACGGCTACGCACATCGAACAACTTGAAGGCCGAGCCCCGCAAGACACGATCCAAATGAAGCGTTGGCTTAAGGAAAAGGTGTTCATACCAAATGGGCCTAGAGGTCACTGTACAGTACGATCGTTGCTTCAAGGACTTTGGGTTCAGCAAGCGGGATGAAGTACATGGCGACTTCCACATCATGGAATTGAAGAGTGCCTTAGCCATTAGGGCGTCAAAGGGGCCGACCCCCTACAATTCAACATGCCACCCAGTTTAGCGGGCGGCATTTCTGGGTGTCAGGATTGTGCCGAGCTCTCCCCAGCCTCCCTCAAACCAACACTCAAAGGATTAGGGACCTCACTAATCTAGTATGGTCCTTGGGCCTAAATGCCTTGAAACCCGGTGCCTTGGTTCCCTAAGCTTCTCACAGCAGCCCTTCATTTTTGAAGCTCAACAGCAGCCCCAAACCCCGAACCCTAACAGCCAGCTCTTCTTATCCAGAGTCCCCAGCAGCGGCTGAGACGTTGAACTTGTACCACAAACTCTTGCCACCTGCGCTGCTCTAACATCGTGTTTTGAAGGATTCTTAAAGGTATCTATTTCTCAGGTGTCAGCTAGGGCTTTGCTGTATTGGCCTGAGAAATTAGACCCAAGTTTTCGGAATGCAAGAGGGAACCCACGTGGATGCCATTACTAGCTACAGCTTCTAGCATCGTGCTTTGACCGACGCCTTTCGGTCTCTATAAGTTTTGGTTGGAGCATTTATCCAGGGTTTTCTAGGGCATAAGTTAAGATACCATTGCGAGCTACTGCTTCTTCCGGCCGCTAAAATGCCCGATGTAGGTTTAGGGTAAGGCCAAACTGTTCTCTTTTTTTTGCGTGGGGCACTTCTCCTCTTGCAGATCTAGCTATAGGAACCAAGGAACCCTGCATGTCCCAAGCCCTAAACGGTTTCGAAACCATGAGTTCAGCTGTGAAAATCCGAGTCTGAACGCCAAGCCAGCACAGGGTCCTTGGAGGATCATGGGACTTAGTAGGCAGGTTATAAGTACCTTAATTGTCGGAAGTACAGAGAAGATTAGCATGGCCCCTCCGCTCAGGTCAACACGTTCACGATCGACACGCACAAATCGAGACGTGTACCAATCTGCAGCCGTGCAGTGCAAAAGTCCCCGTAGTTAGTAGGTGGAGTGATTTGTCTCTATAGTTCTTCATGGTAGCGGGGAGCCGCGGTGAGGATACCGGGGCAACCTTAATCAGTGCGTGAGACTTTACTGTGCGATTGTTACATACATTACAACCACTTTTCGCTGCATCAGTTTCGCATTTTGCGAGTACAGTATTTGTGGGCATCATGACAGATGGTGGTGGATCGACAGGAGCGCCATCGATGGCGGACATAGGCAATTTGTTGCAGCAGCTCGTCAGTGAGCAGCAGCTGCAACGATCGCGTGTTGAAGAGTTGGCTCAGCAAGTGGCGCAAACTCAGCAGGGTGTTGCAGGCACCCAAGTCGTGACAGAGCACGTTGTAGGAGAAGTGGTTCAGCAGGTGCAGTTGGCCTTTTCTCAGCAGCAGCAAGCGACGACGGACCAGCTCTCGCAGTTGGCGCAGACAGTCCAAGGGCAACAGACTGGGATTGATCAGATGTCACAGGTCATTTCCAGCGTAAGTGCTTTGCAACAGCAGATGCAAGCTTTAGCGCAGAATGTTTCTAGCATACCTGGCTCAAGCATGTCTCAAGCAGCGGCGGTTGGAAGCAGTCCAACAGTTCAGGCTCAAGCGCAGCAGCCCGCAGCTACTGCGGCAGCGGTTGGAAGCAGTCCGACAGCTCAAGCTCACCAGCCCGCAGCTACGCCGCTTGGTGCTGTGCCCGGTCCGCAAGTTTCGTCCCAAGTTCCTCTTCAAGGACCTCAGCTTTTCAACCTGGCCGGGAGTGCGCGGGTGAACCCAGCGGTGGCATACGCCATCCAGCAAGGAGCTGTGGATCAGAAGAACCTTGGAAAGCCTTCTGTGTACGATGGAACCAAAGAGGCCAAGCAGAGCTTTCATGATTGGCAAGACACCATGGTCACTTTCCTTGATGCTAGCATGCCTGGCATATGGGAAGTGCTTGAGTGGATCGCGAATGATCAGCCAAAGTCTGTGCTGGATAAAGATGCTGTCAAACTGCACTTTCCTGACGTAGACCCGTTGCTGATTGACTACGCAGACTCCAACATCTACGCGTGTCTTAGCTCCTACACTGGAAGCGAGCCCAAAGCTTTGGTCAAGCAAGCCCGCAGGCCGAACGGCTTTGAGGCTTGGCGAAAGCTACACGCTCGCTTCAACCCAGCCACAGTGGGGCGGCAACGCGCCAGCCTGACGCGCATCACCAGCCCTTCGGAGAATGTCCCGTTAGGACAACTCGGTGGTGAGATCATCGCGTGGGAGAATCGTATCATTGAGTACGAAGCCCGTCCTGGCTCAGATGTGGTGTCTGAGAACCTCAAGATAGCCACAGTGATCGCTATGTGCCCAGGCAAGCTACGTGAACATCTCAACCTCAACTCCCACCGGTTCAAGACTTACCAGGACATCAGGGAGGAGATCTTCGGCTACCTTGAGACCACGTACCAGGTGTCAAGCACTGCCATGGACCTCGGTGCAGTGATCAGAAAGAAGGGTCCCTGCTGGATCTGTGGTGGCGAGCACCTGGCGTTTGAGTGTAGAAAAGGTGGTGGCAAGGGCAAAGGCGCGGGCGCAAAAGGCTCTGGCAAGTTCGGCGACGGCAAAGGCAAGGACCACTCGACAGGCAAGTCTGGTGGCAAAGGCAAGGGTGGTGGCAAGCCAGGAGGACGTGGAAAGGGTGCTGGCAAAGGCAAGCCAGCAGCGACTTCAACGACGGCTTACTGCCCCTTTTGCCGAAAGTTGGGCCACTCCAAGGAGCAGTGTTGGCACAAGCCGAAGTCTTTGGCCAGCATTGATCCACAGCTCAGTGCTTTGCAGTCTGCTTTCGCCAAGGCCGCCATGGAGGTGTACCAGAACCAGCAGAGCTCTAGCAGTCAGTCCGTGCCCGTGCAGCTTGTGCAGTCCGCGAGCGCTGCCCTTAGTCCGGCGCCAGCGCAAACCACGGCCGCGCCTAGCAACACAGCAGCAGCAGCAGCAAAAGCAGTTGCGGCAGCCTCAGCAGCAGGAGCACCTGTCAGCCACTTGCAGGTTCGTCGTTTGAACAGTTTGCACGTGTACCTTCCTGGAAAGGAAAGCGTCAACAGCTTGACTTCGGCGCCTTCGGCCTCAAGCCACAGCGCCCCAGCAGGAAGCTACAGAGTTCAGGCCACTTTGGACTCCGGTGCAGCCGCCTCGGTCGCCCCCAAGCAAGCTTTCCCTGATTACCCTATCAGGGCGACAGAAAGTTCTGAGGGAGGCATCGCTTACGCAGCTGCGAACGGAGGCTTGGTGCACGACGAGGGTCGTGTAGAGCCCGTTTTCACCACAGACGATGGCTTGATGCTCGCGGTTGGCTACAGTGTCGCAGATGTTCACAAGGTCTTGACGTCAGCAGCAAGTGTTTGCAACAAGGGCTTCGGCATCTGGCTAGATGGTGTGGGGTGTGAGTCCTACATCATAGACAAGACCACAGGTGACAAGATCAGGCTGTGGCAAGAGGACGGGGTGTACGTCTACAACATGAACGTGCTCCCAAACGCCTCCACGGATTTCCCGTGGCAGGCCTAGACGCCGTAAGTCCTGAAGCAGCTGGTGAGGGCGCAAAAGCCGCCCCTACAGACACAGCTGCCGGAACAATGCATGATGTTTACGATGATCATTTGAGCGACTACTCACCTTCACTTGCCCAAGCCGAGGAGCTTGATGGGGTGATACCGCCGAATACCGCAGCTACAGACGATGACGATCCTTCAGCTTTCGGCGCGCCCGCAGTGGAAGCAGCACAAGCAACAGACTACGATGCTGAAGAGCTCGAGGTGATGGAAGCTGAAGAGGGATCTGTAGCTCGTGGGTTGGCTCAGCCCAGCCAGCCCACTGCACGCGAGGTCGCTGAACACAATCTTACTCATCTGCCGTTTAGAGCTTGGTGCAGGCATTGTGTTCGAGGCAAAGGTCTTACCACTGCACACAAACGTCTTGTTGATGATTTGGGTCGCAGGGTTCCAGAGGTTTCAATGGATTATTTTTATATGGGCGACAAGGATGATATCAGTTTACCTTTGCTGATCATTCGAGACAACAAGAGTAAAAGAGTTTTTACACACAGTTTGCCTAGCAAAGGGGTGCATCAGTACAGTGTGGCTATTGCAGCGAGAAGTATCAAACAGCTAGGCTATGCCCAGGCGATCTTGAAGACCGATACAGAACGCCCAATTGTGGCATTGCGCAGTGAGCTCATCAAGCAGATGCCGAGTCTGAGGCCCGAGGATGCAGTCAAAGGGGAGTCTCAGACGAATGCTGAAGCTGAATCTATGGTTTCCAAGATGCAAGGCCAAATCAGGACAATGAAAGATGCTTTAGAGTTCAAGTATGGCATGAAGTTGCACCCCAGACATGTGATTCTGCCTTGGTTGGTGGATTTCGCCGGCGCAGTGTGGAGCAGATACCAGCTTGGCGCAGACGGCAGAACCCCGTACGAGCGTTCTACCGGCAAAAAGTGGAAACAGAAGCTTCCTGAGTTCGGTGAATGCGTGTTTTACCGCCCTTTGAAAGAGAAAGGGGGAAAGCAGCGCAAGCTTGACGCAAAGTTCGAGGACGGCATCTTCCTCGGCATACAAGAAGGCTCAGCTTTGAAGTGGATAGGAACTTCGGAGGGCGTGCTTCGAGCTTGGAGTTTGAAGCTCAAGCCCCCAAGTGACAAGTGGGACCGTAAGCAGCTTGATGCCATTCTTGGACTGCCTTGGGGACTGCGGCCTCCAAAGCCGGATCAGGGAGCAGTGAGCCCAATGCTTGAGCGTCCTCTGCAGATTGACTTGCCAGAGGACCCTGCGCAAACAGTAGAAGAGCCAAGCGAGAAGCAGAAAGACTATCTACCTCGAGGTGTATATCTCCGCAAAGACGTGGAGTTTGCCAAGCATGGCTACACGCCTGGCTGCGACGGATGTATCGCAGCGGAATTCGGAATGGCCCGTCGCCATCACACTCCTCAGTGTCGTTCCCGTCTTTATGAGGCCATGATGCAAGATGAGCAGGGCAAGGCTCGAATAGAGCAGGCCCGACAGCGCGAGATGCGCTACTTTGAGAAGGTTCGTGAGGACATGGAGGCTGCAGAGAAATCTGCAATCCCAGACAACAAGCGTCCTGCGGATACCGATCTTGCAGTTCCAGAATTTGATCTGCCTCTCCTGCGAGACGAGTCGACGTCTGCTTCGGCGAAACAGCCTAGGCTTGTGCCGTCCGCGCAGGGCAGTGCAGTGCGTGAAGGGCCTCAGACAGCAGAAGGCGGTTCAAATCCGCCGTTTGTTCAGGAGGGCCAAACTGCAGATGCCGAGATGGGCCTTGAAGCCCAGCAGCTGGCACCCCAAGATCCCCTCATGGATATCGATGCCTTGATGCCAGTTTGGAGTTTGAGAGATTCTCGGCAAGCCGCGTCTGCAGAAATTCAGAAGTGCGTCGACATTTTGTCGCTACAGTCCGAGTTGCATGATGAAGACAATGCGTGTCGGAGGTTGGCCTTGAAGTTTGGTTGTTTGAGTTTGCTTGAGGCATACATGCCGGAGAAGATGAAGGATTACAAGTCGCCTCAGCATGTTCTTTTCGACTCCGGTTTAGGGGTTTCGTCAGGTTTGGCCCTAGATCTGAATGCAGAAGACGAGTTTGGAATTCCCTGGGACTTCAGTCGCCCAGACCACCGTGAGAAGCTTCAAGAGAACTTTGCTTCTCAGAGCCCGTTTCTGTTGGTGGGCTCAGCACAGTTTGGCTCCTTTTCAGCATGGGACAAAGCGCACGCATCTCAATCCCTCGAGAAGGTCAAGACACATCTGAAACACTGTTGTGAGTTTTACAAATTGCAGATGGACGAAGGCAAGTATTTCGTGCACGAGTTTCCTTGGGAACCTTCAGGTTGGTATTCTGATTCGGTGAGCAAGTTGTTGCAGGATTCTCGGGTTATTTGTTTGCCTATGGAGCAAAACGGCCTTCGACTTACAACTGTGGATTGGGATGGTTACAGCTTAGTTATGAAGACAACAGGTTTTCTCACAAACAGTGAATACATTGCTCGTGCCCTACAACGCATGTCAACAAGCCGTTTGAATGTGTGGAAGCGTACAGACTTTGGGTTGCAGCACGCAGTCACAGTGAGCAGGCATGGACCGCGATGGGACACAGTTGTTCGCAGAGTCATTCGCAACGCACAGACTGGTGAAATTATTCAGGACCTGCACAACCCTCAGCAGTACAGTCACAAGCATTGGTATTGTGCATTGCCACCAGACACAGAGGTTGAAACACTGTTCTTTTCCCGTGCTAGTCCCAAAGCTTGGCGACGCAGAGTCCACTCAGCTTCTGGACACAGGAAGGGTCTGCAACCTTATCCTGGAGCTGTAAACGTTGCCATCCTGGAAGGATTGTTGAACGAACTCACCAGGCGAGGCAGTCTTGACAGCCTCTCAGCTGGACCTGTCAACCAGGAGGAAGATTTGAAGTTTGACGTTGAGTTTGAAGATGACTGGCTCACATTCATTGATGAGATTTCTGGGAAGCCTCTTAGTGCACAGCTTGTTGTGAAAGCGCGTGAGGAAGAACTGTCTTTTGCGCACAAGTACGGCGTCTGGGACGTTGTTGATGAAGCTGAGTGCTGGGCGAACACCAATGCTGCACCTATTGGTGTGCGTTGGATAGACATCAATAAAGGAGACGAAGCCCGGCCGAACTACAGAAGTAGACTTGTTGTGCAGGAGATTCGCCGAGATCCTCATGCAGAGTATTTCGCTGCAACTCCGCCCTTGGAAAGTTTGCGTTTTCTGTTGAGTCTGCAAAGAACTGGTGGCTTTCCGATGAAGATGAAGATCTCTTTCATCGATATCAAGCGCGCTCATTGGACAGCGAAAGTTCAGCGCTTGATCTACGTACGCTTGCCACCTGAAGAAGCACAACATGGAAAATGTGCACGACTCAACAAAAGCATGTATGGGTGCAAAGATGCTGCACAGAACTGGGAATTGGAGATCACCTCTTTCTTTTTGGACCATGGTTTTACACAAGGCCTTAGCAGCCCGGTCATTTATGTCAACGCTTTGAGGAGCTTGTATGTTTCAGTACATGGTGATGACATTACATCATTGGGTCCAGAAGCTTCTTTGAATTGGATGAAAGATGCAATCATGACAAGATATGAGATAAAATACGGTGGTATGTTGGGACCAGACAAAGATGATTTGAAAGATGTCTCCATTTTGAACAGACTTGTTTCTTTTGAAGACAGCCATACCACATACGAAGCTGATCCTCGCCATGTGCAGATCTTGTTGCGAGAGTTAGGAGTTCTTGGTGCTAAACCGGTCTCTAGCCCTGGAGTTGCGCAACAAAGCTTTGAAGACAAGGAGCTTTCAGCAGACGACACGAAGATGTATCGCAGTCTCACCATGCGAGCCGCGTACTTGAGCATGGACAGACCAGACATCATTTATTCTGTCAAAGAGGCTGCTCGAGACATGAGCCGTCCTACAGAGAAGAGCTGGCTGAAGTTGAAACGGCTGGCAAGATATCTGCTTGGCAAACCGCGCTTGGTTTGGACCTTTGCAGATCAGAACTGGGTTGGCAAGTTTGCCATCAAATCTGACAGCGATGACGCTGGTTGCAAAGAGACTCGTAAATCTACATCCTCTGGTTTTCTGTTCCATGGCTCTCACCTGATAAAGTGCTACTCCTCTACGCAACACGTTTTGTCCTTGTCTTCGGGCGAATCAGAGTTTTACGCTGGTTTGAAAGCAGCTTCAGTCCTTCTAGGTGCCTTGGCTATGGCTGCCGATTTCGGGTTTGAGCTGAAAGGGGAGCTTCACATGGATGCTTCTGCAGCAAAGTCGCTCATATCCCGTCGTGGGCACGGGAAAGCAAAACACATTTCACGCTGCTATCTGTGGATCCAGCAGCGCATTCAGAGCAATGATTTTACAGTGCACAAAGTTCGCACTGACGACAACGAGGCTGATCTGGGGACGAAGTATTTGGATTGGGGCAAGATTCTACATCTGTGTACCCTTGCTGGGTTGGTGTTTCAAGAGACTACGCACAGGAAAGCACTGCAAGCTTGATACGGATATATACTTTATAAATCTCGTCGGGCATGTACAGTTTCAGCAGTGATATGGTGATCAGAGCTGCAAGACATCTCTGCTCAGGAGGGCCTGTCGGAAGTACAGAGAAGATTAGCATGGCCCCTCCGCTCAGGTCAACACGTTCACGATCGACACGCACAAATCGAGACGTGTACCAATCTGCAGCCGTGCAGTGCAAAAGTCCCCGTAGTTAGTAGGTGGAGTGATTTGTCTCTATAGTTCTTCTAATTGGAGTTAGAAGTAGTGATACTTATAATTACCTTTGTATAACCCTAATTACTAGGTCCCATGATCCTCTAAGCAGGTCCCGCGCACCTCGGGTACCTTCCTTGAAGTCCACGGCGCCAAGCATGGTTCCGTTCTTGCCGTAGCTGCCCTCCGCGTTGCAGTGATGCTCTCCTCCCGGGGGTCGGGACTGCGGATCTTGCTTTAGGGGGGACTTAAGGCTTCAGGGTTTATTCCAATAACTTGTCCAACATACGGTTGATGATATAAATCATCCTTTATTACCCATAATGAGGAATATACCCTCATTCCCATAGTTTAGGATCCCTAAGGTAATGCAGGATTTATATCATTAGCCGGAAGGAGAACTGCCCCGACTTCAGGCCGGATTCATAAGACTTCCGAACTCAAACCACCATAGCTCGTGATTCTGTCGTCTAGAGCCGTCCGTTTAGGAGTTTAGGGTTCAAAGGCATATAGCGCGAGTAGTCTTCGGCCCTGGGCAGGATCCCCTCTTGCAGCTCGGAAGTAGCATCGCGTAGGCAGAGTCAGCAGTCATATGCCGGATCTGCATGATGAAAACCAAACAAGCCACACAATCTTGGAAGCAAAAGAGGGGCCTGCGCACTCACCGAAAGGGTTTCATCCGACGTATTCGAGACTATCAAGCCATTCCGTTTCTAACGACTGAGGACCCCATATTAGGTGTGCGACTTCCCAGAACTCGCTGAGGCATCAGCTCAGCTGCACCGCTGTGGCTGCGATGCCGTTGCCTGAGGTCTTACATGCTTTAAGATTTGGCGCTGTGGGGCTCTTAGTATCATGGACCCCGGGCCCCACTGCTTTTGGATTAGGGTTTGGGCTGGTATCACGCACTAGGGTTTAGGGTTTTCAGGCTCCAAAGTCCACCACAGCATGAATCCCATGCACTAAGCCTTCCAGCCGAAACCATGAACACCACAAACAACTTGCATGTGAGTCATTCCGAGTGGCGTGGTTGGTGTTTCGGAAGCAACTGAAGCTTCAGTTTCAACACCTCGGAAAGGGAGGGAAGGAGGCTTGTCAGTAGTAGTCGTGAAGATAGTCGAAGTAGAAAGAACGAACACCCACCAAGGGCGACGATAATAAACCAACGTTTCGAAGTGCATCGTCGCGCAGGTGCAGAGTCTAAGTCAGGTTCCCAAAAATTAAAGCAGAGCAGTGGAAGCCATCGTAGTTAATTTTACGGAGTTTCAAAGGGATACTCCACCAATCATTCCGGCCTGCCCCGTCCACGCCAAATGTAAATCGAAACCCTATAGGCCCTAGACTCCAGACTCCAAGTTCGAACTCCCCCTCCCCCCACCATATCCTTACAGTTGGTTAGTACAGTAGGGAATGGAAGAATGGTAGTATTAGTTGTTAAAATTTTACCCCATTCCTCCATTCCCTACTAACCAAAGGTAAGTTTCTGGAGTTGTAGGTGGGCTGGGGTTCGACCTCCAGCAGCGCTAGGTCCAAGTTGCGGAGAAAACGATGCTGCGAGCTGCGACTCTCACAGCGTGGGCAATCCTACCGTTTCTTGTTTCAGGGCTTAGGGATGCGAGATGCGGGTTCGTGCGCATCTTGGCGAAAGCCTTACAGCCTTAAAGCCGCGACAATGATACCCTTTCACCTTTTTGCTGCAGACTTGCACGCCAGCACGCCTGGTAGTTTGCCGCTCTTCCGCCAGTTAGGACTGTGCTCGTGACCTTTCACCTAGACATTAAACTCATAAATCCGAAACCTGACCTCTTTGCATCCGGGCTGAGATGACCTGGCCGGAAAAGCTGGTAAACACCTCCCCTGAAATCCAAATCCCAAACCCTGAAGGCCCGAAACTGCAAACTCTCGGAATCGGCAACAGAGGGCTTGGGCCCACACTGCCATCGGAGCGAAACTGAAAGGGGCGAGATCAAACTTCAGCACCTGAGGCTTGTTCGCGTCGCAGGGATTAGGGCTTGAGGGTTTAGGGCTGGAAGTATTTGGCTGTTCGCGGTTTTTGGTTTCACCTCAGGCAAGGCTTTCGGCCCAAGTATATGGGGGGAAACCTTAAACCCCAAACCAAAGGACCAAGTATAACACCACAGGGGCATGAAAAATTTACGACTATGCAGGCCCTCCCATGGGACTGAAAACCTGAACTTATGTGATAACTTCGGAGCATGAGGAACCGTAAAATGGACCCGAAGCCCTATAAACCCTAAAGAAAAGAATTAGAAAATATGGAACTGCGGTATAGACCCTGGACCCCTAACCCTAAATGAAATGCTTCACAACATACGGAGCTTTAATTACTATAAAAGCCCTAGCCATGAAGAGGTAGACCTTGGCTAGGGGCTTAAGTCCCAGCCCCTAAAAGACACCACTACCCCGCCATCAAGTAATATTTCGTCAATCGTGCCAAAAGCCCCTGTTGATGAGTTTTCGAAGCGATTCCGTGATGCCCGTTTACACAGGCCACAAGAGGCACTCCTACTACACCCTAAATAAACCCTAAGCCATAAACCCTAAACCCTAAACCCTAAAGACTCTACGTCCTAAGCCCTATAATCCCTGACTTTGCGCTATCTAGGAGCGGCCTGCGGAGCTAACCCGAAACACCGATCCACGCGACGAAGAGGGCTCAGGGCTCACCCCCAGGTTACAGTAGAAGCCAGAAAGTTGGAATATCATTATCGTAACCCCTTTAAGGTAAATTATAGGGGATCCTACCATTAATCCATATTCCAACTTTCTGGAGCTCCCTTTATTGCCACAATACAGGCCAGAACGCAGTAAACTAATCCCCAAGAGCCATAAACCCTAAACTCCAAACCCTGCTCCATGGCAAGAGACCGGCATCGATGCATCGCTAAGTTCCAGCAGCGCCTCATGCGAGTTGACTAGCAGCCGAAACCCGTCGCCGTAAACCCGTGGCCTTACGTGGGTACTGCTCATGGTCTGAAGCTTTATTTGAATGTCTGATTACGGTCTGTGGCCTGTGGCACCTACACTTTCGGGTACCCAATGATAGTTCAAGGCCACAAAAACCTCAGCTCAGGGTACTTTGCAAAAGGGCCTAGTTTTATGGACCCTCGGGATGCAAGTCTTGTTCTAAGGTTTCGTTCCTTCCCCTTGAGCAAGGAAGTGAACTCCCGGCCCCATATCCGAGACTTTACTCCTTAAACACCCGGTAAACCACATAAGTGTCCGACATGCTACGAAGCTTCATGAACTCCATAGCGGGTCTACTGATCGAACCTCACACCCAAAGATGCAGTACAAGCCTCTGCCACGGCACGTCTGCTTGCAACAACACGAGCAATACTTACCGAGCTCTCTGGTCCAGGGAGGGACAGGGATGACCGTTTAACTGTAGTCTGGTCAGGGGAAATACACAGCCTAGAACAAGACCACCTATTTAGCTACTCCGGAAACACTACAACGTTGCCACCGCCACGTATACCGACGAGACACATCAGTCATATCGGTGGCATCTTAGCGCATCAAACCCAGTCGATCCCCGTGTAGACACTCGATTTCACAAAAAGGCGCCCAAAAACACCTCAGACATCAGTGGCATCGCAGCAAACACCAAATCAAAATTCCCCATGCAGACACTCGATTTTGCAAGCAGCCGCTCGAGAAACACATCAGTGGCATCGCAGCAAGCAGCACATCAAAACCAGCCATTCCCCATACAGACACTCGATTTTGCAAGCAGCCGCTCGAGAAACACATCAGTGGCATCGCAGCAAACAGCACATCAAAAGCACCCATTCCCCATGCAGACGCTCGATTTTGCAAGCAGCCGCTCAAGAAACGCATCAGTGGCATCATAGCAAACAGCACATCAAAACCAGCCATTGCCCATGCAAGCGCTCGATTTTGCAATCAACCACTCAAGAACCACCTCAGATTTCAGTGGCATCGCAGCAAAGAGCAAACAAAACCAGCCTTTCTAGTTTACCAGCATGTCCCAGGATCCCGACTGACGCGCTTTAGCAGAATCCCCAACTGCACACTGGACCTGGGACGACTTAGGGCCTGGACCCTGCAGGAAACAAACACCGCAGATCATCATCTTGAAAGCCTTTCCCCCATGTGCACACCGAAACGCAACGACCCCGCAACAAAGCTTCCCCCGAAGGTCTGGCGTTGCCACGAAGGAAACGCAACGACTTTAGCAACTGGGAGTAGCCCTATTGAAAGCGATTCAAAGGTGCATGCCGGAATGCAAGAACCCATGTTGTCAACACACCAAAACGGCCTCCACAATCCCTGCCACCCTCACAGCAGTCTCATTCAGCTAGGATCCCGGCTGCCAAAGGCTGATACTGAAACCTTAAGCCCCGAGCTTCGATGATCCTTGTTGCAACACCCGAAACTGAAAAACAAAGCATATGAGCGACGCCTAAGAAACTCTGGATCTGCTGGCTTCGAAGCCTTGAAAGGCTTTGTGCTCCTTTTAAGCGAGCGCTCCTTTAAAGGAGTCAACAGGAGAAGTGCCCGTCTGAGTATCAAGTTGGCCTGATATTTGTCCTCTAGACCCAAGAGTAACCTAGGAATAAAAAGGGTGCCCTTTTTGGTTTAAAGGGGTTTATAAGGGAACCTGAACCCTAAAAAAGGGAATAAGGGCCTACTCTGGGTCCTAGTCCTTAACCCCTAAACCCCTATAAACCCTAAACCGTGACAGGACTCACTGAAATGCCTCGTCGGAATCCAACTTCTGAGGCCCTTCCTCCGAAGAGTTGCCGGCCTCGCTGCTCGGTTCGGATTTAGGAATTTGGGGTTTTCGGGGTTTGGGGCTTTGGGGGTTCGAGAGTTTAGGGTTAAACGGATCCGGGTCTTAAGTTTAAGGAGCTTGGTTTGGTATTGAGTTGAAGGTGCTGCAATTGTAATGATGGAAAACATCGGTTTCCATGTTCAGTTTCCCCAACATTTTTAAAGAGACCTATACATATTCACCTAAACCCCATACAAACAATACCTCACTCGTTTCTGAAACTTTGTTCCTGCAGCGTGTAGACTCTGCGGCTGCGGGCTTGCTTTTTCTGTAGCACTCCCATCTTTTTTGCAAGCCATCTGCTCCCGCGAATCTTGCTGGCTCTTACTTCCCCAGTACCATGCTCTTGCCGCCACTGGCGACCTTCCACATGGATGCAACTAGTGTTCGTGTAACCCCCCGCATCCTTGAGTGCTCACGCCGGAACCGCCTGAAACCCTCAAGCCCAAGCCTCAAGCCCAAAACCCCAGACCCGATCGCAAGGCCGCGGACAGCTGCCTTCGAAACTCTGCATTCTCGATCCCTAAGTCGGGTTCTTGTTTAGGAACCTACGTCGCCAAACAATTTTTATCATCAATGAAGAAATACTCTCCGTCCATATTATGGCTTCTTACATACGGTTCCAAATCAGTACCAGGGCCCTCTCAAGAAACGGATTAGCAAGTCAGTCAGGCATTGTGGTAGAGCTTTGAAAACAAGCCCATCTGCTGCCACACCGACAGCAACGAACTGTAGCGGAGCTTCAAAGCCCCATCGAGTCCTGATACCCTAAACCCTAAACCCTAAGTCCTGATACAACCTGTGAAATCAGTATTGACCGCTGCGTTGCTCCGCCTCGGTCTTGATGCAGATGACTTGATCGCACCAGTTGTTGCAAGACCTGAGCTCGCCACCGAAAATATAGGATCCGAATATAGTACCCGAAATAGTAGGATCTTGATTATAAGGACCACAAAATCAGGTACCCTAATTTTCGGAATCTCCCACAAAGTCTCTTTGAGATGACAATAAAGGGGCCCTCGGGCTGATTAGCAACTCTATGTCGAACCCCCTAACCCTCCGTAGTAACAGGAACCGCGAAGGAAACCATCACTTGATAAAGGCTTACAAACTACAAAACCCCCAAACCCTTAAAACTTGTCGGTGTTTCGGGGCTCTTTACGGCTTGCGGTTTCCCGGTTGGGGGTGAAGGTCTTTTGGATTCAGGGCTGCTGGTTTCCAGTGCATGCGGAGTCAATGCAGAGCTTGAAATCGCGACTCCACTGTATCCGATGGCTTGCAGCAACTAGCTTGCGAAGGCACCTGAACTCGCCCTCCTCCGTCGGCCAGGTGTCATGGTCCTGGAATTCCAGGTTCATCCAGAACAAAGACACAACACGGCTAGGTTTTAGGGTTTAGGGGCTTAGGGGTTTAGGGTTTTAGGAGCTTAGGGTGTAGGGGTTTAGGGTTTTTTTTGACACTCACACTCGGACAAGGCCTGGCAAGGTCTGTAGCAATCCTGGTCCTAGGGCTTAGGGGCAGCAATGCACAGCGCTCAAGAGCTCGAACTCCTGAACCCTAGAAACGCAATTCAACAGCCCGGAAGACTTAAACTGTAAAGCCCAAAGCCCCTAAAAGCCGCCTACTCCTAAGAGCCTCATATAGGGGCCTTAAGGCCTTTTGGGTGTACTACACTATATTTCTCATCAGCAACCCCCGAAAGAGTATTGGTAGTTATGCTTGCCCTGAACCCTTGCACCCCTAACACCTTTTTCAGCATGGGCTTGGATTGTGTGCCAGCGAACACTCCTCAACAGCAGGGCCTTCTCGTTTCACGAGGGATGCAACCGCGGATGTGAGAGAAACCTAACACCTAAACACTAAACCCCTGAACCCTAAACCCCCATGAGCCCGAGGCTCCCGGTAGTTCACGGACATGGCCCAAACGTTCGACTCCGAAGTGCAGTTGGCCTTGCTGTCGCCTTGGTTGTCGATTTCTGAATATTCTGTAGGTTTCGACAGGGTTTAGGGTGATATTCCAGATGGTGTCTTAGACAGTTAGGGCATGGGGGTTCGAGGTGTAGCGGTTAGGGCCCATTGTTTCGGGATTTGAGATTTATTTGGGGCTTAGTGTTCATGGCGTGCGGCTCCTTCGGTAACCAGCGTTCATCATATCTCGAAAGCCCTGCAGTACACCACAACGCCCAACAGCAAGAACCCCAAAGTCTATACCCAACCATTGTCAGCAAAAGCCTAAACCCTAAACCCTAAACCCTAAACCATGAAACCCTAAACCCTAAACCATGAAACCCTAAACCCTAAACCCTAAACCATGAAACCGAGCCCTTTAAAGACCCTGCTCCGAGAAAGCACAAACCCAAAGTTCCAAAAGGAGGTTCAACTGGGTTCAACTCAGGTTCCAGTCCCAGTCCCTACTATAGTGGCCTTAGGATCGGGTTTTGGGGTTTAGGGTTTAGGGTTTAGGGTTTAGGGTATATGGTATACTATACTTATAATTAGGAGACCCAATATAGTATAGGTAATTATTTAAAGGCCCCTATAGCAAACCCACGGTCAAGGCCAAAGCACAAACCACCACGGCCCCTTCACCGGCGCCCCAGGCTCGTGGGGGACCCCAGGGCGTCTCGGGGAGGCATTCGATTCCCGCCACCTGGGTTTCAAGAAACTTAAAGCCATCCAGAATATATACGGGAGCTTCCGAAAATTAGGGGTGCCCTATTTCGGCGTCCGCATAACAAGGATCCTAAACTTGGAAAACTCCCGTACAGAACCTCGTAGATGGCATCTTACCATATAGTGAGTTCGGCTTGAAGACCCGCGTTCAAGTTACAAGCTGATGAGTTACCCTGAACGTCCCCGAAGTACATTCATGTGTACATATAAATCTAGGTATGCTTTGTACACATGCACACACGTGCACATAAACACATCTGCATTCACAGGTTCGGCTTCCGGACATCCCATGCGGTAGCTTCGGACACGAGAATGCCACCAAGCAGCCACTTCGGATGCCAGAGCTGCACGCGCCGTTGCACCGAAGGCGCCGGAGCACTTGTCATTCAGATATCCGATCTGAGGGCTGAGGGATATAGGGGTCTGTAGGGTTTATAGGGATTTTGTGTAATTAACTCGATTCGGTTTAGGGATACAGGGTTTTGGGATGTAGAGGTTGTAGGGATATAGGATGATATAGGGTAATTATACGGCTTAATCCCAAGCTTGGCTGGAACCGTACGACAGACAGCGAGAAAGGCAGAACAAAGGAAGTCTGTCGAAGTGTGCTTGGGCATCAGTGCTTTCTGGCTTCCCGGTGCTTGGAAACATTCAGTAAAACCTGTTGCCCACTCACGGAAGCAAGTCAAAGCGGCTGGGTCGAGGTATAAATGTAAAGTTGTCCGATTACCCTATGAAAGCATGTGTGTAAGTATGTGTGTAATATTCACCATCTCCGAAGAGTGCGAAGAGTGGACAGTGAACCTCGGGCGCTAGGGTGATACTCCATAAGGGCTACTTGCTACTGAGCATTTCGATCTTTTATACTGGTCCCTGACGGCGGAATGCACAAGCTGTGCTTTCTTGCTGCCGGGATGCCGGGTCATCCATTTGCACGAGTCTGCTGCCGCCCTTGCTCCTCATCCATTGTTTGTGCAGCGTGTTGGTATTCTTGATGGGGTAGGTCCGGGGTAGGTAGGATTTCGACACCCTCAACCTCATTTTTTGCCACCCGCCCACCCTAAACCCTCAACCTCATCAGGTCTACGGACTAGCGCTGATATTCGGATGAGGGTTTTCTGGCTGCCGCGTGGGTGTCCTGTCAGGGTTTTGAGTGCTGCGGGGCTCAGCGGATCATCTACTCCGGATTCACTTGGCTGTTGCATTGACACTGGATGGTAAAATCGATCAACCCATCATGCAAGAGCACCAACAAGCTGAGAAGAGCATGTCGAGATCCCCAGGATGCGACAGCAAGAAACCCAAAGTCCTCAAACCCTGCATCCAAGCTCCCTCTCCTGGCCAAACTTCAGAAGTTGCCTCAACCCAGCCAAAACTGCAACGGCACAAACCCTACTTGCCCCCAAAACCGGAGCAACTCGTATATCCAAGCCTGCACTCCAAATCCTAAGCCGTATACAGCCTACAAACGATGCTTTACAAGCCCAACCTAAACCCGTTGGGTGGTAGTCCCTATGGAACCTTTCTAGTACCCTTATTGCAGCCACAGGTGCTTGTGGCCCGTGGACGTGTAGCCGGCAAACGATGGGCCTGTTCCATTGGGCACCTGGATTTTGGGGCTTTTGAAGCTGAGGCTAGGGCTCAAAGCCAGGGAACCGAAAGCACCCAGAGCAGCGGCGCCCAGTTCTGTGGCCTCACGTTCCTTCACCCAGGGCGTTTAAGCTATGATGAAGGGTAGTTGGTTAGCCTAACACACAAACAAACCCTTTATAAACGGTATAGAACTCTGTACAAGCCGCCAAGACCCCCCAGCCCCTGAACTTTTGAACCGAAACCCCTTAAACCGCGACCTCAAACGCAAAACTCCGACGCTGCCGCCAGAAATCTCCTGAACCTCAACATCATCATGACTCGACTCTGCATCTGCCCAGACCTTCCAGCATCCCTTAATTAAGGAAAATACTTTACATTATAGTAAGATCCCTAATATGAATTAAGGTATATTCCTTAATTAAGGGATTTTGGAAGGTCTGGGTGGACCCCAAGTCGAACCCTCCAACCTCAGGGCCTCAACCTGCCCAGAGACCGAACAGGATCCTTGCAGCCTTTTCCTTGAACTGATTTGCCACCGACATAGCATGGCAAAGGGTCGTTTCTAATTAGAATAGGATTTTAATTATTATGGGACACAAAATTTTTGTGTCCCATAATAATTAAAATCCTCTTTTTAAAAGAATAGTAGGAACTCTCAAACGAATTGTGAGTAGCGTCGGAAACTTTATCCATGATTCGATATGGCCCATGGGCCGCTTGGCCGGACGACGAAATCGACGAACGAGACCGTTTTTGCACAGTTTTCAGACTGCGTACTCTTGATATTGACCAAAACCCCAAAACCTATAAACCGTATATGTCCTCTATACACCCTAAGCCCCCAATATGCACGAAATAACTCCTTTCTCCTGCTTCCGGGGAACGCACCGGTGCTCCAAGCTCACTGCGAAGTCTTCCGCCGGGTGGATGCGGGGCACCGAAGCGTTGTAACTCCAAATCTCCCGGTCCTTGTCCTCAGGACTCCCGGTTTAGGGTTTAGGGGTTAAGGGGTTAAGGGTTTAGGGTTTAGGGGTTTAGGGTTTAGGGGTTAAGGGTTTAGGGTTTAGGGTTTAGGGTTTATACCTGCAGTCTCCATTGTAGTTCCTTTTTCTGGTTTAACCAGTTATATATGTTGGATCCTATAAGGTAAGCCCCAAAAGGAACGACAATGGAGACTATAGGTACATAGGGTTTAGGGTCTCCAATTGCTCAACAGGGTTCCTTTAAGGCTTCTGTTCAAAGGATCTCTATACGGGTCCTCTGGAGGGGTTACTACTACACTTCAGGATTTACGACCTTGATAATAAGACTACGGTTGGGGTATACTACAACTCAAAGTTAAGAAAGGACCAAAAGGAATAGTATCTGTGTTGGGGTGTCTGCTTTCGCCTTGGGCTGCTATGCGCTGGGGGCGACCCTTCGAACTCAACCACCCGGCTAATCGGCTTAGGGTTTATAGGGCTTACCTTAACCCCACGTAACCTACTTTTTCAAGGACTTATATAAAGAAATCATATTAGGGAACCCTAAAAAAGGTAGGTTCCTTAGGGTCCAGGTAACCGTTAACCCAGAGTAATGGAAACACATTCCGAGCCTAGGTCCGAATTTCCTTGTTGATTATGCGCCCCGAGTTTTACAAACGAAGGTTCCGAAGTTAAATAGAGTCCTATTTACGCGTGCCAGGACCTGAATCAATGAATGTGGCTTGGTGGACTTCAAGAAGACATCCCCGAGGTGCTCTCCGCGAAGTTAGTCACAAGACCTTTAGCCTGGCACCCTTGGCCACGCTTCAACGTGTAAAGACTTGGGTTCAGCCCAACAGCCCCGAGCCAAAGCTCCCCTCTGGATCCAACTGCATAGCAGTCATAAACTCCCTTAACCTGCAGCTAGTTCTTTGCACCCAACACAAGTACCTAAACGTTGGGTGCATGGACCCTCTGCGTTCTACGTCTGCCTCAACCACCAGCCTGCTCCGAAACATTCGGGATCCTGCTACGCATGCGCAGTACAGATTCCCAGAGTTCGACATGGCTTAGAAAGGATGGTTCTACATTTGGTAGGCCAACTCCAAAACCCCCGTGGCAAGGAGCTTTCACGTAGAGTCGGCCATTCATGCCCCATTCGAGATGGCCTCTCTCGCCTCACGAAAGGCAGGGCGATACTTGTTAGGGTTTTGGAATCTAAGGGTTGCAGAGTTTCGGACTGTGAGGTTTTAGTGTCCAGAGCTTTGCGGTTTTGGCGGATTAGACGTTTAGTTTATGTTGATAAGTAAGGGTTGTGCACACAAGAGTTTGCTTACGGGTCTTGTCGTGTGGACCAAACCGCACCTTTTCGAACGAGGTCTCCTTGAAGACCAAAGCACCCCTAAACTAAACTGTTGTTGCTCCTAGACACACGTCTAGCCAGGCTACACCCCCAACATGATCCTTCCAAGCCTATCTGCAACCAAATGACTTGGAGGAGTCTCGAAGCTAGAAAGTCCCGAACACTCCGCATTCCTCAGTCCGACATTTGACCTGCTGCCGGGCTTGTCCTGATCCTGCGCCCTGTATTATCTGAACCCTAAAAACCTAAACCCTAAAACCTACCTTAACCCTGAATAACCTACCTTTTGAAGCTCCTTCTTATGATTTCCTTATATTCTACGACCTGAAAAAAGGTAGGTTATTCCGGGTTCAGGTAGATCTCAATCCTCGTCAGCCTCGCAGACACTGAGCCCCGAACCCAAAAGCCGACTGAAGGCCTTGGAAGTTCGTGAAATCCTAAAACCCTCTAGGCTCAAAACGTGGAAACTTACCCTGAGGGTCCATGTACCCAAACAGAGTATATACTTTGGCCCCAAAGTAACTACGTATATAAGGACTACTTTCATTTAAGGACAAAGTACATCGTATTTGACTCTTCGCGGCTGAACCCTAAAGCCACAACAAGTTGCCTGGCTTGTCCTCCAGTGCCCTCCACTGCTGCTCCTCGTCTTCGTAGAGGCGTAGATTGCTCTCACCTCGGTACTGGTGGGTTTCGGGGAAGCAGTTCCAGGTTCTGTGTTTGGGAGCAGAACGGTTTAGGGTTTAGGGTTTAGGGGTTAGGGGTTAGGGGTTTGGGGTTTAGGGTTTAGGTGGTTAGAATTGATAAGATCGAGAGCGTTATAATGGTCTGAGGCTCTGGAAATCCCGAGCTAGTTGGCTCCCCTTCGTGCGTGTAATCCTTGCACCCCGGATTCCGGGTTATTAGATTCAGATAGAGGTTAGGGCGCAGGGTTAAACCCTAAACTCTATATAAGTAAACCCGCAATACCTGTGAAATTTAAATTCTCAGCCCTATGTCCTGAACCCTGAGGCTTTTTGCGACCAAAAGGGGCGATAGGCAAAGAGCCGCTCCGTACCGTTGATCTCCAGCACCAGAGCCTCCGCAGAAATCTGTAAAATGCCGGGAATTCCGCGGGTCTTAGGGCTTCATGGGTTGGTGGGTTTATGAATCTAGGATTCATACGGCTTTGGGTCCTCGTTATACGGTTTAATCATGTTGGGACTCCGAGGGTGCGGGGATTTGAAGCTTTCGGACGTTGAGGGCTGTAGGTTTCAAGCTTTTTTGGGGCTTAGGAGTTATCCTAATCTAAGTTCCTGAGTAGCCCCTTTATAAATCGGGTGTTTGGGGCTTAGGAGTTGTGGGATGTTTACGGTTCAGAGGAGTGCGAGGTTTTCCACGCATTTAGAGCTAACCCCCAAGCCGGCTCAGCCCTAAACCCTATAGCCCCTAAACCCTGGCCCCTCAACCCTTAACCTAATCTAGGTTCCGGAGAAGCCCCTTTATAATACGGGTGCCCGTACCCTTTTTCCTTTGTTAGGTTTTAATACGAGGACCCTAGAATGAAAAGGGCCATAGAGTAATTAGAGGATCATGGGACTTAGTAAGTAAGGTTATAAGTCCCCTAATTGAGGTTATAAGTAATAATAAGTACAGCTACCTTATTTAAGATCCTAGTTACTAAGTCCCGTGAGCCTTTAAGTACGACTCAGGAACCAAGTCATTAACCCCCGACGCCCTGAAGGCTGAGACAATTGCTTCCCAGAGCCTCCAAAACCCCTTAATTATTTAAGGAATATACCTTAAATCATATTAAGGGATCCTATTATAATGTAAGGTATATTCCTTAATTAAGGGGTTTTGGAGGCTTTGGGTTCCCACCCGCCCCACTGACTCAGCCTTGAGAGGGCTTGGGTGGTGGTTTGAAAGGCTTTGGGCTTTGGGGGGCACCAGACCCGTAAGCTTACCGGAAGTTTTAGGCTTGATGAGTCTTGGGTTTTGGGAGTTTAGAGGGCTTAGGTTCAGTTGTGCAGGTATCTCCTTTAGTGCAGCTTTGCTTTCGAGCTTTGGGTTTAGGGGTGTTGGAGGTGTTGGTATTCCCCGTTACGTCAGGCTGTCTTTCGAAAGCCAGGCAGAAACTATCGCGCCTTGCCGCTCCCATACTTTCCAAACGCAGAGTCGGCCTTCTTGTGCCACTGGCTTGACTCCTCAAGGTTGCCTATTGTCTCCATTGTAGTTCCTGTCTGGGGTTACCCTTTAATAGCCTCCTAACTATAAAACTGGTAAAACAAAAACAAGAACTACAATGCAGACTATAGGTAGGAGTTGAGAGCTCGCAGGGTTTGTGCCTAGGGGGCTTGCACTTTGGCATTTGGGGGGGAGAGCTTGGGTAAACTGTACTTTGCGCAACCAGGAACGTAGCTTGAGCCCAGCCACAACACGCCTACCCGTACTTATGACATCTTCTAACTACTATGAACCCTAAGATCAAGTAAGACTACTAGTTGAGAGGCGCCGTTTGAACTTTCTTGTCACAAGGGACTCGGCTACCGCCAATTGAGAGATACTAGACTAGTAAGGTAAAAGGCAGAAAGTTGGAATATGATTATCTTAACCCTTGTATGGTAAATTATAGGGGATCCTACCATGAAACCATATTCCAACTTTCTGGAGTTCCCTCTAAGCCTTGAGCGTGCAAAAGTCCGGAAACAACTTGCAGACTGTGCAGACTCCCCTTAAAAGCCGATGAGCGAGCACTAAGAATCTAGAAGCCTAAACCAAACAGAAAGGTACGCTGTGGGGGCCCAGTTTTTCCACACACAAGGCTTTGCGATGGTTTGTGGATTCTCGCTTACAGCTTCCGTATTGGAGCTTCTTCAACAATAAACACTTTAACATGTTCACGCAAATTGGGTAATCATATATCTCTTCGTAAGGCATAGCACAATATAAAACAGTATTGGATTTGCAAAGGATGCGGGATTTGAGAATCGGTGCCAGTGCCTGCCTTAAGGCGGAAAGCCTCCAGTCAGCCCCAAGCGGCTAGGGGGTCTGACCCCGGGGGGGGGGGCAAAAAAAAAGAAAAAAAAAAAAAAAAACTTAATGGCATGCCCTTTCCTAGTTTTTTTTTTTTTTTTTGTTTTTTTTTGTGCCCCCCCCCCCCCCTTCCTTGCCCAGGGGTCTCCCCAGGCTTCCAGCGAGGCATGGGGCCTACAGGCCTCGGAGGCCCTTGGCCTCAAAATTTAGTTCCGGTTGCGTGCACGAGGAAGGACGTTTAGATTTCCGAGCAGCTTGCTAACTTGGATTCAAACTCATTTATGTTCTAAATATGATATAGGCAAGGGGATACAGCTTCATTAGAAAATCGTAGAAACTTGACAGCTCAAACTTCACCCAGCATTTTCTTTGTCAAGTCAGCTCGGAAGCGGCAACCATATTTGTTTTCATCGAAATATCGCATTCGCACTACTTCGCTTCCCGAATGCATCACTACTACCTATACGACATTGGCAAGATCGCAATCCGGCATTGTCACCGTGTCACCGAGCATGGCAAGTTCAAACGGCATAGTTGACGGATGCAAAAACCGGATATAGTCATGCAATGATGTTCTCACTCACGTCTCCAATGGTAAGGCACAAACCTAAACCTTCCACTATAGCAGATGCGAAACAACCGACCCAAATCTGTTGTATGTGCAAGATTTCTACCTGAGCGGCAGCATGTCCGTTCCAACATCGATGCCGAAGGCTTCCATAAGTTATCCATATTAAACATGCGGTCAGACAGACATAATAAAAGGAACAAATCTGGTAATGCTGCCCTGAAGTTATGTGTGCATATACAAGGAGGCCACGAGAAACATGGAACCAGGGTTAGGGAATATATGTATTACTTTATAAGGTGTCGATGCTGCGGCATACATCCGTCCATGTGTGCTATATAGGGCGACAGGACTTACACAGCATGTTGGCAGGTAGCAAACTCGCACTCCGTCTGTCTTATGAGAGGTGTGGTCATGGTTGGCCCCCAAATTCACACTTACGGCTGCTCGTATGGTCATAGTCACTCAGTCATATAATGACGAAAATGAAAGCACAGTACGTTTGGTAACATATCTGAAAATGACGGTTTGCCACGGAAAAGGAACACATGAAAAGAAAGAGGTTTGAATATAGTTCCGGACCACAGTCTCTTATCACCTTTCCAAACCTCACCCTATAAGTCGAATACATGTAAATAGCGATACCAAAGTTGCTTCAGAAGCCCTCCGAGAATTCACACTTACGGCTGCTCGTATGGTCATAGTCACTCAGTCATATAATGACGAAAATGAAAGCACAGTACGTTTGGTAACATATCTGAAAATGACGGTTTGCCACGGAAAAGGAACACATGAAAAGAAAGAGGTTTGAATATAGTTCCGGACCACAGTCTCTTATCACCTTTCCAAACCTCACCCTATAAGTCGAATACATGTAAATAGCGATACCAAAGTTGCTTCAGAAGCCCTCCGAGTCGGCAAAGTTAAACCCTCGGACTTTGAAGGATACCATCGTGAACATATTTGGTTTCCAAGCATGTGCTGTGGCCTTGCAAGGCCATCTAACAAATATTACCCTGGATGTCTTTACGAAGCAGTCTTTCTTTTCATTATTCGAGCTGAAGGGGGACCCCATCCAAGACAATGGGCATGCAGATCTGGATGCATTACACTACGCACTTTTGCGGAGCAGCCAGTAGGAGTTCAAGCTCAATGGAGTTTCAAAACCCAAAACATCCTAATGTCAGAGAGTGTACATATCGGACGGCGGGGGCTTGTGCAGTATATCATCCGAACGAATGGGCATGGAAAAGATGTCGTATCTAGGATCTGCTACACCTGTGTGAATAAGCAAAAGATAACGAATGGGACATGCCCATAGACGAAGCTATGTGTCAGGAGACTACCTGCAATAGTCCTAGATATCCGGCGTTTCAATTAGTGTGGGGCTCGTCGGAATAAATCTCTATGAGAAAGACAAATCTTCGGGATTGTTCATAATTGTATGCGATTGACAATAGGACCATTCTAATCCATACTCTGGTTTAATGAGTGACATGACACAGGGGCTTTCTGAACAAAACGACAAGACATGGAGACGCTCGTGCTTTGTTCTTCATAAAACCAGGAGTCGGAAGATACCATCATCCCCTGATATTATAGTATGTCTCGAAGCCACCAGGTGTCATGTAGACGCTATGCAGATACGCGTACGGTAATGCAATTTGTATGATAGGCTTGCACCCCCAGAACATTCAGGCTCGAAGTTAAGATGGTGAGTTGGTCCCGAACAGCAACATTTTAAAACTGGAAGCTTGGTTCGCCCAGACTGTAGGATTGATATGCATAAGAGTTACATACAGTTAGTTAGCAAGTTCCAGAAACGGCGCCATTTCAACTTATATCGTCAAATGACATACGGTACATACACATCTAAAACAGTTTAAATTGCATACGGTACACACACATGTAAAAGACATGCAACAAGTTGCCTTGGAGTTGAGTGCATTTGCACGTGTTTCACTACTCTTTTTTTCCGAGTGATTTTTTGCCTAGGTAAGGTGTTGCGACATGTGGTGATTGTCGCTCGAAGTTCGATTTAAAATTTCCTTTTATTCCAGCAATGGTTTAACATGTGTACGATGGTATAAGCAACTGGCAATCATATCGCCGTCTTATGAATGTTACGTCACTGTTTCATTCCAAAGGGGATTTTCGATGTAAAACATACGAAACCCCTCGTAAATATGGGGCCCCGAGGGCGTTCCACCCTCAAACCAAAACCCTAAACCCTAAACCCTAAACCCTAAACCCTAAACCCTTGAACACTGAAGTCATAAACCTCTGAAGGCCCTAAATGCCCCAATGCCTGAGGCCTATGATTTGCGGGCCACAGCGTCGGTATCCAGCTGGAACATCCCACGCCTCGGCAGAAGAACACATCAATCGGATCATCGTTGCATCCGGCCAAAATTTATGGGGTCATATACCTGCTATTGTTATTGAGTTTGGTGGTACAGGTGCTCTTTAGGCCGCATAGTTCCTGTCAGCGAAAGTTCGGGGCTCACACTCGGATAGGAGTTTAAGGTTTAGGGCTTGAGGAGTTTCGGGTTTAGGGGGATGTATGCGTTTAGGACATTGGGGTTTACGGGTTTAGTCGGTTTAACTGGTACTGCTTCAGGGCTTAGGGATGGCAGACTTTGGCACGCTTCGCCTTCATTCAGGGGTCTGGGAGTCTGGTGAGGTTCGGCATGTCGGAATTTCAAATCCTTGGGTTTGGTGTGTAGCTCTTTTGCAGGTTTAGGTGCCTAACTTTAGGGATTCTTGGGTGTACGTCTTCTGGAGACGACCCAAACCCTAAACCCTAAACCCCTAAACCCTAAACCCCAAACCCCTAAACCCTAAACCCCTAAATCCTAAACCCCTAAACCTGAGGCCTTTCAAGAACTCGCTCCAGGGACCGGGCTGCTCCAGGATGATGATCTCACCGCGGTAGTTGAAGATGCCTCCCCTAGCGACGGAAGCTAAGGATGTCTATAGGGTTTCGACTCGCACACTCGCTCTCGCAGGCACGGCTTCAAGGTCTCCGTTATAGGGTTTAGGGTTCAGGGTTTAGGGTTTGGGGTTTGGGGTTTAGGGTGTAGAGTTTAGGGTTTACGGAATGTCGGACTGTTGGTTTGGTCCTTATAAGGGTCTATGGCTTTTCGGCTCGGAGGTTTGGGCAGGGCGATCCGGAGTGATGCTTGGAGCGAAGTCTGTGCAAAGTTCGGGCCGTGGTCAGCAGCAAGACATCAATTTTTGGGTGGTTGTCAAAATTAGGGTCCCTTTTTGGGTACCCTAAAATAATAGGTGCCGTATTATAATAGGGACCCAAAAAGGGACCATAAGTTTGACAACCACCGTTTTGACTGAAGTGTATACATGATCATGAGTTGGACCTCCTAGAACTTCAATGTAGCGAACACCCGGCTGCTAAACCCTTACCCAAGCTGGTACCATCCAAGAAACCCCGAATTTGGGAGCTGTTCATTCAGATCCCGAGATTACCTTAAATGGCCTCGTGGCTGAACTGCTATCCCGTCAACGAACCAAACTGGTTAAGGGATTTTATTTAAGTTACCAAAATAAAGAAAACTTGCTATCTATGCTGTAGATCCCTATCACGGCAGCTAAAATTAAATTCCTGAACAAGAATCAGCAAACCTGCAATAACCTTAAACCCTATATACCCTCAAGTTTATACCATCAAACGCTCAGCCCTCGCATGCTTTAGGAAACCCTCAGCCCTCGCATGCTACAGCGCTAGGCTAGGGCTTCTAGCCGAGAGGGTCCATAGTATACACTACTATTCCAGAACCATAGTAAGAAAGTCTGTAAGGACCTATAGTTCCGTAGTATGTACGGACCCTCTGGGTAAGCTCTGAACTCCTCGAACCCAACCCCCCCCCCCCCCCCCCCCCCCCCCCCCCCCCCCCCCCCCCCCCCCCCCCCCCGCGAATTCCCCGTGTGAGGCGCTTGATCATCACAGGGCTGGAGAGGCCAGAGGCCGCTTCGGACCAGAGGCTGTCCTGCGTTTAGTTCTTAGGGTTTAGGGTATCCTTTGTTTAGCGCTTAGGGTTTAGGGTATCCTGCGTTTAGCTCGGAGGGTTTAGGGTATCATTTGTTTAGGGCTTGGGGTTTCGTTATCTTTGGTGAGTTTTTTGCCTCCCACCTAGCTAGGACTCTTTGGGGAGCTTAGGGTGTTGGGTTTATGATTTAGGCTTTGGGTTGTTTGTCCGATGGTTTTGGCATTCAGTGGCTAAGTAACTTCTAATAGGCTTGAGGCCAACAAGTGTGTCTTATGTTGAGGGCTTTGGACCTTGAGCGGACATGTCCTTCTGTGGTGTAGGGCTTCGGGATTCTCCCGCATAGATTTGATGGGTTCGGCATCTTCGCTTACGTCGCGGGTTCAATCCTCAGGGTTTCGAGTGTGGGGCTTAAACCTTATGGCCTTAAAACTTAGGGCCTATAAGGTTCCTACGGATTTTGGGTCGTTTGGGAGTGCAGCGTACTGCGATGGGGGTTGCTTGCACAAGCCGACCTAATTGAAGGTCTTCAAGCTCGATTATGATTGGGTCAGGCAAATACGGGCTCCTTCAGCAGTTTCGTTGCGTACCGGTGGCTCCATCTCCCTCCCGTTGTTTCGGGCACACCCTCTAGTTGGGCCTCATTACCCTAAGCCTAAACCCTACACACTTGAACAGACCCACCTCTCTCTCTCTTGGTAACCCTACATTGCTGGTGGTGGTGCTGGTGGTGGTGGTGGTCATTGCAACTCTCGAGCAAAGGCCGCTGCTGTAATCAATCAAATCGGGGGGCTTCACACTCTGTCTGGAACCCACTGAAGGCTGACAATCCGCCTTCGTATTCTTATTTATGACAAGCTGACTTTGACAGAAAACGGCGACCTCAGCGTGGGAACTTGCTAGCTCCTTTACTGGTGTTCCAGGGCCGAAGAGGCACCTGATAAGCAAGTACCCTAAGCACCCACAAGACCTCTCTCTCTACTCGATGACCCGTTTTTGCATACGCCTGAAATTTGGCAGGACTCGAATGCTGCTGCCGAGTCGCTTCAGATTTCCTGGCACTTCCGGCCTAGCAGCAAGGCTGGTGAGCAGCTTGCCCTACAGGATTAAGGTTTGGGGCTCTGTGCTTGCAGAGTGCCAGGCGAAGATTTATCGGGGTCGTGGGGATGCTGATGTCATCCCGGACTGCCCAGGGTTTAGGGTTTAATTAGAGTAGTCGTGTATATTGCAGAGAGTGGCCCTGAAGTACCTACATAGGGACCCCTTTACTAGGTGTCGATCTCACAAGTCCCCAAAATCTTTTGTGATTCGGGCTCTGCATTAAACAGCCATGGCACGCACAAATTTTCCAAATCCTAGTTTAATCCCGGTATACCACTTGACAAGACTGAACCCCTGGCGCCCTGACACAAAACCGTTGGTTTTGTGTATAGCGTAATCTCGACGTGAGTGGCCTGAAGCAGTGCTTCACTGCGAGCTTCTTCGTCGATGTCTTCCTCCACGTCGTCATCGCAGCCTCAGTGCGATCCATGAAAGCTGGTTTCGGATGCGAGGCTTAGGGTGTGGGGCAGAGTTTGGGGAATCAGCATTCCACCCGCCAACCGGGCAAGGAAGATTGAACAAGTGCTGGAGCATAGGGAAGGCAAGTAACGAGCTTTCCATTTGCCTGACTAAATGGAGCAACAGCCCCATGCATAGGACCCATGCTTCCGTGCAGCCACATATCCCAATTATCAGTTCGAAACATGGAGTGTCGCCATGAGCTCTCTCTCTCTCTCTCTCTCTCTCTCTCTCTCTATATATATATACACATCTATTTAATATATATATATATATGTTATATGTGCATATATGTGCATAATTCATTAGTTAAGCAATTAGTTTATGAATATACAAGTATATATACACACATACACACTACATGTGTGTATGCATATGGGTATAGTTACAAGGCTTAGGGAGTTGCTTCGTCTCCGGCCGCAACAGGAAAGTAATTATGCCAGCACCTTCTACGATCAGTTCCAGCTAGAGCAAGAAGCCTAACGACACCAATGCCATCCACCCTGCAGAAATACCATCTAAAACCTCAAGCGATCAAGCCCAAACCTTCAAGCCCCAGTGCATCGCAAAGCCATAAGCCCAAGCCCTCAAGAACCTTGAACCCTAAACCATACACCCCGTAACCGTGTGCCATGCAATCCTTTTGCACCCTGAAAGCTCAAAGCCAGTCTTGCGGGGCCCTAGCTCTCATCGAAGCCTTCGTCACACTCCTCCTCTTCGTCGTCGTCGTCATCGTCATCGCCTGGGCAGTGTCGGTTTAGGCCGCGGGCTGTCAGACTTCACAGGTTTAGGATATCGGGATTGATGATTTACATGGACCCCGAAAGTATGTAGAAAAATAGCCTTATTTTGGGTATTGGGCCACTGTTTTACCTACTTTCGGGGGTTAAGGTAGGGGTTAATTAAGATTCAGGAGTAAGGGTTAGGGTTCAGTGGGTCAAGGACGGGCACAAATCGCGCAAGTTCGTTCCGTGTTCGATGATCGCTACTGTGCCCACTCTGATGGCGTGGCCAGAAGTAGAGGAGCTCTGATAGAAGGGCCTTGATAAATTAGAATAGGGTTCTGGGAGATAACACACGAAAACTATAATGAGGAACCTCCAAACTTATTTAGGTCCCTCACAACATTTTATCGCATCACTCTCTCGAACCTGGGATCCCTGACCATAGGCTCGACTCGAGACTCTAGGCAACAAGGCGCTTCCAGCGAAAAGGAGGATTTCAAGATGTGGGTGGTTCTCAAAATTAGGGTCTTCTTTTGGGGTCCTCAAGATACTACGGCACCTAATATTCAGGGTACCCAAAAAGGGACCTTAGTTTTGACAACTACCCATGTGGCTACGAGGATGAGTCTGGTATGCACTGGCAGGCATGAGTTTGACGAAGAGAACACAGGCGTAGCGTTTGAAGCTTATCTCAACCCCCAACTCACCGTCTTGTCAGGCCCCCTCGTGACTTGACCAGGCTATCCCTACGCAAAAGCAGGTTCGAGAAGGGGTCGGTATGGTTTGGCTAGGCTCGGCTTCTTCGGCGAGGTTGTTGTTGCCTCCTGCGTTGCTGAACGAGTCGCTAGGCATGTCGCCTGAGAGTCATACCAAAGGGTTTGGTGACTCTAGTGTTTACAATGGCTTGGGGTGAAACGGAACCGTAAACCATAGGAGTTTAGGGGGTAGATTTTAAGGAACCCTTTTTTTGCACGGGGATTGGGGCTAGCCAGATTTTAAGGAGCCCTAAACCCCTCAAACATGAACTGACAACGACCTGCCTCGCCAAGCTCGACTGTCATCGACAAGAGCCGATCCAGCCTACAGCCAGGCGATGAATAACAGCCGAAAAAGAACACAGATCAGATCATATCTGATGTTAGTACTTGAATGACAACAAACATAATAACCACAGTAAGCATGTACGAAGTTCTGTAATGAAGGGTCCTGCTGTGGCAATCCTCATAATATAGAAGTTAGACTCCCAGAACCGCAGAACTCTTAAAGCCTAGAAACCAGATTACCCGGGACCGAACGCCCACAGTACGGAGCGTAAACCCTCGGATCGTAAACCCTAGACCCTCTCAAGGCCCACCCTTCACTTGCAACCCTGAAACCCCAAAGCCCGAATCACAAGAGCTCATAAGGCATGCATTCATGAACTTTCCAACATTACGACCACATGCATGAACGCCTTCTTGGGTTTCCTCACCCACCTCCATCACACCCTTGAATTGCAAGAACATCTATGTTTTTCTTTGGGGGGGGGTCGAACATCCGTAATTTGGCTCGGAGTTTACAGACTTATGCGAAGCAAAACATTAAACCTTTAACTCTCGGGCCTTCGCAGTGCACCCTAGACCTTCAACACCAAAACACTATCCGAAAGCCCTTAAAGCTGAGCTCCGGAACTTTAAACATGGAGACTCCAACAGTCTACCGAATATCGTCGCACTGTCGTCTCTGCGAGCCTTTAATACACAGCGCAAATAGAGGCCCTGAGAACACTGCATCCCTCCACCTGTAGGCGCATATAGCTCTTCGTTCTACACCGAGACCCATGAATAGAGCACATGATTGGCTCAGACAGCCCTGAAGAACTCTATAAGCCTTATAAATCCAAACAATAATTACATTACAAGCATCTACAAGCTCTTCACCTTTTGACGCTCTTAGAAAGAACAAACATGAGGGCCCTAGACCCGAGTCCAACCTTCGCCGCTCGGAGTCGGTTGTAGCTGAGCATGCACCTGTGTGGTTTCAAGCTTACATAGGGTTAGGGATTCTTCCCTCCTAGCTAGCAAGGACGAAGCCCGCATTGCAGGGAATCTTGGTTGGGGACTAGGGTCGAGGGGTCAGGGGTAGCTTATTGGTGGGATTCAGAGGCAACACCACAGTATATGATAACTTGGAACTTGATGTGAACAAGAACCGTAGCCGTCCTATGCCACGAGACCCTCAATCTAATTACTCTGGATATCGTGAACATGGGAAGCACAGGCGTCACATGGCCCCCCAATCACATCCCCAAATGAACTGCACGGATGAATAGAGATCGTTTAGGCTTGCATGGGGGTTCTAAGCCGTGGGAAGGTGTATGTGCCGCGATAGGATCAGGAGTCGAAGCACCAGAGTGCTTGAGGGGCTTGTCATCTTCAGATATGGGTTCGGATGATCAAGTGCGACGGCTCGGAGTTCCTTTTCGCCCCACCGAGAGCGACATCTCAAATGCCCTAATCAGAAATATGTGCAGTCACCGTAACCCCAAGCCCAAGGCTAAAAAGCCTGAACCCTGAATGCCATATATACCTGAGCATTACACACCCTCAAGTCATTGCAACCTAGCAGCAAGCCGCGATTGGAGCTGCTCTTTTTGGCCACAGAGCATGCCTCAAACACAGCCGACTAGCAGTCTGCAAACGAGTAAGGTACTGCAACCATTCTCCCGCTTATCACACGAATTATCACCGGATAGATCCATAGTATCACTTTAACCGCTAGCTTTAATTTAAACCCTTCCTTCAAATCTTGAGCTCCAAACTGAGCGCTAAACAGCAGCCGCCTAAATCCCTTAAACCCTCAGCTTCGTTACAAACATTCGCTGAGGTCGACAGCCCCAATCCTAATTGGGTGGTTGTCAAAATTAGGGCCCCTTTTTGGGTACCCTATACATTAGGTGCCGCATTATAAGAAGGACCCAGAAAGGGATCATAATTTTGACAACCACCCAATTCAACAACTATGAAGTGGAGCCCCTTGGGGCGCACTTCCTTTCCGCTACTCTGGGGCTGCATTCTTCATGGACTTCAAAACGGAAGCAAGGGAAGCAGGGGACTCCAATCCCTCTTTCATGGTCGTTGTATTTTTTTGCGGTGTGCTCCTTAGTTGCTGGGTCTCGGAGTGTCTGGGAACATGGAAGCGTGTGGGCCTTTCTGCGTCTAGCGCCTTTTACCAAAACTCAACCTGTACCCGAGGTCCCAACACTGCGAGCAAGGCTCACTGGGACTTTATGATTGGTGCAAGCTCTGACTCTGTGGACTCAAAACTTATGGCTTTCGCGCTCAAGGAACATGCCATGCAAGGCTTTCTCCCAAGAAAAAATCCCAAACCTGAAATCCCAAAGCCCCCTTATGAACTTTGACCCCAAGCCGAACCTCTCCCCCCTAAATCAACACACCGAAGGCTTTAGCCTAGAGTCCAAGCCCTCGAAGCTCCCTCAATGCCCCAAGTCCATGCCCCACGGTTTGGGTTTAGGGTTTAGGGTTTCCTAAACCACCTGCACCCTTCACCTCTTAACCCTTGCGCCTTCCTTCGACGGGGACTTGTCCTACACCAGAGAATAGAAACAGTGATTTGAGCATCACGAGCACTTCGAAACAAGCTACGAATGCCACAACAGCCTAGCACTGCCTCTGGGTCCTCAAACCGTGAAGTGTACATCAATTGCATTCAATCGAGGCATGTACAGTAGACTTAGCTTCGATTCAAGCCGTTCACAGCTTCTGAGCTGATTGCCAACGCCAGCAGCAAGAAGAGCAGTCGCTTCTCCAGCATCATTCCTTGTCAATCTCGGGGCGTTGGGAGGTGGTGCCTAAATATTGGTTTACATGCTTCAGGGCTTTTGTGTTTAAAACGATCCTGAAGCCTACTATACTGAACTTAGAACCCTAGCAAAATCATAACTTTAGCTGTTTCTGAGGGATTATAATGACCAAAAATTCAAAAAGTAATTCTAAGTATCCCTAAGCCTAGGGTGGAAGATTCCGTGTCCCTTATTTCAGGTCTTTTGGGGCTCTTAGGGCTTTAGGGCCCTGTTTGCATTAGGGGCTCTTAGGTTTCAGGGCCCTTTTGGGGGCTCTTGGGGTTTAGGGCTTATAGGGATTCGGACACGGCCATCCCGCAGCTCCAGTTCTTCCCGGAGACTGTTCTCCACGGTTAGGATAGGGTGTAGGGTGAAGGGTTAGAGTTTAGGGTTTACGCTCTCACAACTCGGACACAGCAAGGCGAGGTTCTTAGGTGCGGAGAGTTTAGGGTTTTACAGAAAACCAGCTACAGTCTGATGTGAGCCAGCCATTCAGTGCGAGGTGTGTCGCACTGCTACGTGTCATGTGCGAAGATGCTTCGTCGTTTTTCATTTCGATCAAGGGCGGCTACGAAAGATTTAGCCCTTGTGCCACGTTGTATAGAACAGCTGAAGTTTGCAACTGCAACATGGACATAATGTACAACCGGTCCTAGAAGTTGCATCGTCTAACAGATTTCACAGTCGCTTTGTGTGGAGAAAATAGTCAGGTCAGCCGCGCGCTCTGCTCATGGGTTTTCAGTGACAGTGCATAAGCCGTGGTCAAATCAGTGCCTGTGAAGCGCTGATTTTTAGGTTATGAGTGCCCAAGCGCGGGCCACTGCGGGCCTCCCTAACGGGACTGACAGGACAGGCCGCGTTGAAGATGTGGAGCCAGCAGAGATTCCGCGACGAAGTTCATGCAGATGTGCCAGATAGGGAAGTGCAGCTGCGTGACCAGAGTGCTAGTTTGGGGACTATGGAGCAGTCTGGTGGGCAGGTAGATGTTACACCCAATGAGCCTCTAGGCGCTGAGACTACAGCTGTGGCAGTACAGGCTGGGCCGAATGTGGAGTCCCAGACGATACTGGATGCAGGTAGGCAATCAGGCCTAGAAACAGGGCCAAGGGTGAATGCTGCAGCAGACTATTCTGGAGGATTTGTCACCCCCAAGTCTAATGGGGGAGCCAGGATCGTTCAACTGGCTTGGTTGGGCGGTGTGGAGGTACCCCGATGGGTATCTAGACTTGGAGCTTTCTTGAATCAAGGTGGCGGCATATCGCAAGCAGAGCTTGCGCCGAGCCCTTTTCCTGGAAGCCAGCAATCTTATTCTCCACCTCCGGGTGGGCAGGCCTTTCGACTGAGGTCGCCGGTTCGTGCCCAGGCGCACCATCACCTCCTTCGTCCTCGAGCTTACCGCAGGAGGCCATCCAGCAGGAAGTGCAGCGTCAGTTACAAGGAATCATGGAACAACTCAGACACTACAGTTCCTACAATGCTCGACTTGAGGAGGAGTTGGATGGCGTGCGGGCACAGCTAAGGGATGTGACAGAGCAGCGGGCTAGAGATGAACAGCAAGCTGTTTACCGTGGAAGGCTACTAGGGGATCTTGCTACAGCGCACCTTGATCCTGGAAGGCTACCCGGTAATCCAGACGCTCTACCACAACAACCACGAGCGCAACTACCGCATCCTCCCGAACTACCTTTAGGCCCTGAAGTACGTCGAGAACCCAAGCTTCACCTACGGGAACCACCTACAGTACCTAAGGACTCCCAAGTACGAAGCAGTGACAATGTACCTCAAGGAGACCCGCCTGAGCTACCTGGACGTGATCTTCCTGGAAGGACAGACGATCCAGTGCTTTCAGGACCGGGAAGCACAGGGGCTTCGGGGATACTGCGTTCGTGGTGGAATGCTGAGACCCGCTCGAGGGGACCATCACCGCCGCCGAAAGCGGCGACACCAGAGACATGCGGATCTCCTGTTCTAGACGCTTTAGCTCGAGGGGTACAGCAGTTGCAGGAACTCCAGGCACAAGCTCTCACGAGATCTACTACCTCTACAACCATAGAGCAGGTCAAGCCAGGAACAACAACCCTAACCCCGATGCCAAGCTTGATCGAAGGTGCAGACACGGCACTCACGTTCCAGGACTGGTTGGAAGTGTCAGGTCCAGTGATGTCGGACTTGAGTGAGACCAGTGCTACATGGTGGCAAGGAGTGTTGGCTGCAGTGAATGAGGTGTATGTGAAGTGGTTAGCAGCGTCGCCTTTGGAGAAGCTGTGAATAGAGCCGATGATGACTGATGAGTGGTGCGGAGGGCGCTGGCTGAGGGTCAATGCCAGAGCAGCATCAATGTTGTTGGGAGCGATGACGGCAGAACTACGTGCAGATATGGTGTCAAGAAGATGCACACAAGATTGCGTTAGGATGATGTATCGATTATACACCCACTACCAACCAGGTGGGTCTGCAGAGAGGCATGAAATGCTGCGGAGATTACAAGCTCCACAAGAGTACGTGGGCACAGACACGCTTGACAACGTGGTCAGGACACTTCGGCTGTGGCCGAGATGGATGGAGAGATGCAGGGCGGTGCAAATGACGCCTCCTGACCCTTCGGTCCTGTCGCGTGGCCTGTACGCCTTGACATCCAAATACATTGAGGCCTCGAGCGACGCGAGCTTTCGAACCTCAATGCTACGAGCATCGCTGAGGTTGGATGCTCGGCCCACGCATGAGCAAGTTGCAGCATATCACAAGCATTTGCAGGCCGAGCTTGAAGTGCTCATGGTTGGCAAAGATGGAAATGGTGGTACCTTGGCACCGCCTAAGGTCAGGGCAGTGGATGCTCCGCTACCAGCAAAGGCAAAGGACGCGGGTGCAAAGTCGCATCCAGCACCGGATCTTTGCAGATACTTCGCCAAGCCAAGTGGCTGCAAACGGGGCGAGAAGTGTAACTTCTCGCACAACATGTCTGGTCTGGATCGGGAGCTGCGGGCTAAGAAGTGTCTGAGATGTGGGTCTGAAAGTCACCGCCAAAAAGACTGCACGGTGGGGCGGTCGGTACCGAAGACAGGATCTCCGAAGGACACCACTCCGCAGAAGCCGGTGCGAGGACAGGTGGGGGGCTCTACGCAAAGTACAATGGCAACGATGAGTCCTACTACCACTCTTGGCACAGAGGCAGGAGACGCGATCCAAGGCACTCCATGGACTTTGGAAGCGCTGGTACAAGCGGCACAACAACTTGTTCAGCAACCCGCAGGGGATCAACCTGGGGAAACGTCGCCGGAGAAGACGAGGCCTACTATGCGAACCTTACACCTAAGGGACATAAGGGTATGCTCCACGGATGCTTCAACAACAGCCCTCGTTGACAGTGGGGCGACGCACAGCCTTAGGACGGCAAGCTCAGAAGAGGAATGGGAGGAGGCTACAGAGGTCAATGTGATCTTGGCGGGCAACCACAGTTTGGTGATGAGAATAACAACCACAGGAACGCTCCTGATGCCCTTCAAGAAGACAGGTCCTGGGAACTCTGACCTACAAGCCCAGACGATTGTACCGATGGGACAGCTGATCAAGACGCTCGGGTACACTATGGTTTGGAGCCCTCAGGGATGTTATCTAGAGTCCCCGGAGGGTCAGCGCCTGGATCTTCAGGTGCACAATGGCTGCCCACAGCTACGTGAGCTTGAAGCCTTGGCCCTGATAGCAAGGCTGGAAGATCGGAAGCTGGAGGAGCTTAGCAACTCGGTTCTGACTACCAAGGACAAGCTTAAAGTTTCAGCGGTCGCGATGGCGAGGACATGGGACTACTACTTGCTGGACTATGTGACCACAGGGAACTTTGAGTCAGGACTCAGAGCTGCAAGGGATGCGCCGTTTCTGTCTGACCTCCCGGGCGAGTGTTTGCATGAGATTATCCCCTCGGCAGGTCTGTGGTCTGGATGGGATGCAATGAAGCAGCTTGGTTTTATGACGAGGCCGCAGAGGAGGAAGTTGTGGGGCTCTAAGAAATGGGTTGTGCACCTTTTCTCGGGTGACTCCGGGCACTATGAGTTGTTTAAGCTTGACAGTGGTGATACAACAGTGCTTGAGTTGGATTCCTCCCAATGTGCTGGTCAGAACCTACTCAGAGGAGAAGTGTGGCAGATGTTGTTGTGGGCGGCAAAGGAGGGCAAAATAGACCTTGTGATGGGAGGACCACCGGGTCGTGCGCAGCAACACGCAAAGGGTGGAGTTCGGGATTCTCGCTCAATGACCTTGGTTGCCAGAATGCTATGGCTCCATGCAGTGTCTCAAGTGGGACGGGAAGTTAACGGGAGTCCGTCTACTCGCAACAGAGATGTGGGCTTTGTGCTTGAATACCCGGAGGGCATGTCAGCGGAAGTTCGTGGAGCTCTCAATGCGAGGATCGAGGCCAATGAAGAGCTTTCAAGATCAGCAGATGGCGAAGGGAAACCGGCCACATGGGACCAAACAGTGTGGCTATGGGAGAATGTTCAGCGGCCTCGAATTGAGCGTCAGATGGGAGCACCTACTATGGACGCAAGCCACTCGTTTTGGGACACGAGAATGTGGAGGGAATACCAGAGAATGAATGGATTGCGCACGGTGTCCTTTGATCAGGGCGCAATGGGTGGAGGGAGCATCAACCCTACTACGCTTGGAACCAACGTCAACAACCTCATGTCCTTAGATGGTATTCGGGTCCCGGCAGACAGTGATCTACCAGTCCGAGGTGCTCGAGATCATATCTGGGCCCCAGGCCTAGTTGAAGCGCTTGTGGTTGCCTTGAGCTTCTGGGATCGGGACCCACGGTGCGCACCCCGGTTGCCACGGATGCAAGCTTTGACCCCGCAACAATGGAAGGATCATGTGAACTCGAACCATGCAGTGTACAGAAGAGACTGCGCTACATGTGTTACCTCGCGGGGAACAGGGCGACAACACCGGCGAGTACATCACCCTGACTCGTATGTGCTGA